TTCCATGGAACTTTTCGACGTGCGGGGTAATATTCAAAGACATAAAATTGACAAATTCTGATCAAAGAATAGTTTGTATTTCATTTTAATTTTCACGTGGAGAAAATCAATTTTACATACGTCGAAAAATATATAATGCCTTTGAAAATTTCGTATGTGACTATAAATATATTTTATTGAAATGAATATTTCTTCATAGCATTCATCTATAGCATAGTTATTGGATGGAAAAGGACTGACCAGATCCACCCCTGGAATACATGTTTTTTCGAAAGAATATAGCTACACTACTTTTGTTTCTTGTGTGGGAGGAATAAGTGCGTGGAGGTGAACGAATCTCGACTTACGAATCGAGCCCTTTTACCACCAATGGACAGAAACTCCCTTCAAACCTGGTATGCTATTCGTGTCCTCGTCGAATGGACGTGGCTCTTACCCCTCTCTTTGAATATATCATCATTGGTGGTTTCTGCCTCTTTCTGATTCGATCAATGGAGTTAAAATGCACCTATGTACCACATTTTTCATATCGAAGAAAAAAATATCTATATAATTTCCCTTTCTCGTGACACCTGTGACACTCAATAACGTATAATTAACTCGTATTTCTATATAATAACTGAGTCTGGATTTCAAAACGATATGAATTTTGTACCTGTGTGATGGAGAATAGTTTATATTTTCCGAGAAAGAATATTCGACTCGTTTTCAAAATGATTTTGTACCTTTGATTTTTTAGTCTTTGCGGTTTATTCCGTAAAGGTTTTGACTAATACTATTCACATTGGAATTATTTTTTTGTCCTACCTGCACGAAAAGTATGTCATTTCGGGCACTTAAGGCGGGCGCAAAACTACTTTTACGCCCGCTTTTGCTCGTGCCCTCAATGCCATACTTTTCATGCAGTTCGGACCTTAATCTCGCCATCGTCCCAATCACCTATTTTGCGCCCTTGATACGAAAATAACTATTGTGACTGCATTTCAACCTCAAGAGTATTCAGTCCTAAAATTCTTTTAACCTTATTTAAAGCTATTGAAAAAAGTTTCACAGTTCTTCTAAGGATATCAATCTGAGACAAAAAAAGCATAAAAATTGTTGAGTTTTGGTACATTTCTTGTCTCAAAATTTGATATCCTCAGAATAACTGTGCTAATATTCAATTATTTCGGTTTTAAGATGGAAACAGTTTCAGACTTTGTTTATGTTGATTGACAAATGCCAACATCTTCAAAATGACAAACTTTATCTTTCAAAGATCCAAAAATTCAGCAAAAGTCTTCAGTGCTAAACAATTTTAAATTTTTTAATTTTGCACCAACACCAACGGTTCAAAAATACAGAGAATTAGACCAGAACTACCTACAATAAGAAACTAAAAATCCCAAATGACATCTGGGTTCTAATTGGAGATTTCGGAATTTAATTTGGGCCCTGACCTCAGAAACTATTTCCCCACCTGTTCCTTAAAAGAATGAAAATTTTCTGCAGGAATGCTTTAAAATATGTATCGTCTTCATTTTAAATGAATAAACCATTTTCATTTTTCAAGTTCATCAAGATCTGTGCCGATTTTGAAAATGAACAACTATAATAAATTAATTATTCTTTGGTTGTTACTTCTTATCCACTATAGGAACAAACTTATTTTTGGAAAGCAAGTTCGAATTAATATCAATTTGATCCTATTTATAACTATATCTGTGAAAAGTGTATGTTGTAGATTAAAAATAAAAGGTTAAAATTATTGGGCGAGGATGACTTCGACTTGAAGGTTTCGGTAAATGCGGGTGAGCAGCCGTTGTAAGCGTGACTTTTGTAATCAGGGGGCCATTTTTATAAATAATGTACCACAGCCCGCTTCTCTTATAAACTTCCGGTTCTGCTACTTTTCCGAATCAGATGTTATGCATATGGAGCACCTGGTGGCTAAACTTAACGACATATTTTATATTATTATTGACGTTGAAAAGGCATTAGTGAAGGGGAAAGTCAAAAGTATAGTTGCATATGCACAATATGCACTATAGGGTGTATTTTCATATTCACTTTATTATTTTTACTTTTATTTAAAATACAATAAAGAATCATGTCTTACTTTAAGAGAGGATCTTATATTGCAACATTTTCTGTACAAGACTTTATTACTACGATTATTATTATTATGTACTTTATGGCACTACCCAATGGGAAATTTACAACTGGCGTAGTACTGCGCCAGCACTGGCAGCACTGGCGGCAAGGCTGAGAGCCAGCACTGGCATAACTCTGGGATGATAACGCCGTCCGGCACTGCCGAAGTACTGTCTGTCAGTGCTGCCAGACAGCGCTGGCGCAGCACTGGACCAGTGCTGGCTGAGAATATTGCCGCAATAAATGCCGTATTGTTATTAATTAGTCGTAAATTCATAATTATAAATAATTTAACAACAAAATGGTAAATAATATTAATAAATAGTTATTATTCATAAAATATTTCTCTTTTTAATTAAATTGTATTAAAGATGGAGACTAACAATGGATATAGTAAATGAAGTTGAAAAAATTGTTTATAACATTTAAAAATTAAATAATAAACAATTACAGTAAGTGTGCATTAGATTTTCATATTTTAGTACCTAACGATTGGAATCTAGAAATATCGCAAACCTATGAAAATAAACAAAATTGCTGACGAGGGGAATCGAACCTACGACCTACGGACTAACAGACTAACGCTCTAACCACTATGCTAACGACACGTGTGTGCAATAAAATTTTAATATCTCAGTATCATTCAGACATACAATTATTGAGTCAAAGATGAGAAAAAAATAGGGATACGTTAGAAATAATAAATTTAAATAAAATAAATTGAACTAAATTTTTAATAATTAAATTACTTTACTTATTGCATTTAACATTTTACGTAATTCTTAAATTACGTGGTAATTTTTTAATAATTTTTTATTCATAGTAAGAAGTATAATAGTATTTTAATAGGAACCAAATTATTATTGAGATTAAAGTTTAAATTTTGTTTATAATTTTAATTTGTTTAAATAATTTATTATTTACAAAATTAGACAATTGTGTTAAATTGTTATTATTAAATTTAATAAGAATAAAAAATGAACAACTGAAAAGTAAAATATTAATTTTTTTTAATAAATTTATATTTATAAACATTCATAAACTTTTTTTATAACTTTTTTTCAAGTTTATGTCAAAAAAGCAATGTTGGCAAAGAGCGTTGTGAACAATTTTTCTATACTCAGCCAGCACTTGCCGCCGTGGCTTGTCCAAGCTTTGGCGAAACAAAAATTCTGTACTGCGCCAGCACTGATTGTCGAGGCTCGGCTAGACTACGCCGAACAATCGTCTGAGTACTAAGCCAGTGGTGAACATCGGCACTACACTGGCATTTCCCATTGGGTAATTGCTTTCCTAAATGATGGTTTATTAGGGCTTCAAATGTTTTAAATTTAAGGCAAATTTCATCTCAAAATGATTAGTATAATAACTAATTAAAAAAATGTTGAAATGAACTATCACTTCGACTGACAGTTTTTCGAGTTAAAAATCTACTCCAAAAGTGAGAATCTAGAGAAAAACAAACGAGTATATAATTTCAAATTTCAATTTCGTACCTATTCATCTACTAAAACCTACTGTTTATACTACTTTTTTACAATTTGCTACTAAATTGCATATACGTTTTTTTATATTTGTGACACTAAAATATATTTTCTTCTCTTTTTTTGAACATTTCCACTACTTTTCATTCGTTAATATTCAAAATAAAAAAATTATTCTCTAATATTTTAATAAAATTCTTTCAAACGATTCAATTATTTGCAAGAAATTTTTTGAAATTCAATTATTTTCTACATGTACTATTTTAATAAAAACTTTCCCAAAAAGATTTCAATTATTTAAAAAAAATTATATAAAATTCTCTTCAAACGTTCAATAATTATTCTCATAAATATATAATAAAATTTTCACAGGAATTCAATTATTTAAAACACAAATTTCATAAATTTTTCGAGAAAATTCAATTATTTAAAAACATTTTTATAAAATTCTTCGCAAGAATTTAATTATTTTCAAATAATTTTAACAAAATTCTTAGTGAAATTTAATTTCAAAAATTTGCTGATAAAATTGGCGCACTTATTTTGGAAAATTGTAATAATCTATTTAGAAGAATTCAATTATTTGGAGTATTAATAAATTTTTCACAGGAATTCAATTATTTAATTAATTTAATTTCAGTTATTTTTAATACAATTTTAAAGAAATTCTTCGAAAATTGCAACTATTCTTGAAAATTTTATTAAAATTCTTCGAAAAAGTTGAATTATTTTAGAAAATATTTAGATATTGTTCTTTATAAGAATTCAATTATTTGCAATAAACTATTTATTTTTGTATGTAAATGAAATTGAATTCTCGTAGAACTTTCTAATAAGTGGTTTAAAACTGAATTTCAATTAAAACTTTAGGTATTAATTAGAAATAATTAAACTTGAAAATATTTTTAATTTGAAGTCTTTGAAAATTTTAACTCTAGTGAAATTATAATAATATTTAAATTTTTATTTTGAAAAAAAATTAATACTGAAAGTTTTGAATAATTTTATTTAAAAATTTTAAACAAAAAAATGATTAAATTGAATGAATGTTGTAATTTTTAGAAATAGTTAAATTCCAAAAGGCTTTCTAAAATCATTTAAAACATTTTAATTCCCGCGTGGAAAAATAAATAGGTATTTTAATATTTAATTACAAAAAATGATTTATTTTAGAAATGATAAAAAAATTGAGTTGTGATACTTGTCGCAAACTTGTTGAAAATTATTGCCCTTTTTGGTTACTTTGAAACTGATACGTATAAGGATCCTAAATAATTTAATTTGAAACGTATCTTGCAATAAGTTCTTCTTTAAGTTACAATCGACATAGATTCGTAATTAATGGTAATTACATTCATTGCGGTTGCAATCAATAATAATCGATGATGGTATTAACAATTGGCAATAGTTATCCATTGGAGTAGAAAACGAAGTGAGGAATAGTTACAAAAGGGGTGACTATAATATATCCCCCCTCAAATAAATTTCTTCTCTCTACATCCAAAATAACATAGGAAACAGCTTCAATTTCTGCGTTAGTTTGTGTAGAAATTGGAATTGAAAGTAAAAAAGAAAAGCAGAAGTTATCAGAAATTGAGTGAAAAAAGCAATGGTGCCAGAAGTTGGCGGAGAGGGTGAATTGTTAGCGCACTAGACAGGCGATGAGGGTTGTGAGTGAGGTGTGTGTGTGTGTGTGTGTGTGTGTGGCTTGGCAGGTCGTACGGTCAGCCTGGCTCTAGCCGTGTGCATGGTCCACCTGCGAAAGACCCAGCACCTGTCGCCGCACGCGCACCAGCTATCTTATCCACTGGCTAGAGGGCTGAGGCAGATAGATAATGGGGTGTATAGCCTGCGCCCTGCCTGTTCCCCTGCCTTCAATTCTCCACAGTCAGCATTTAAACTTCGTCCAAGGAACACAGTGTATAAATATGTAAAGAACGAGAATTTACTTTTTTACACTTCCCACGTCACAGATGACACTCTTTCTTTTTGAAATATACTGACCCGATTCACTTTAAACCGCAGAATGACTCTTTTATAAAATCTGTTACTTTGTTGCTTGTTTAAAAAATTGTTAGTTACATAATGTTCATGTGAATTACTGAAAGTGCTTTACCAAGTGGTTCCATTCGGAGAAATGGAATGTGAGGTATGAACACCTTGGCTAATATAAAAACCATTCTTATTTCTATGAAAGTGTTACTCTTTGAATTTGAAAATTCGTTGCGAATGTAAATTTTTTGAAGAAAGTGCGTAAAGATTAAAATGCCATTTGTTGATATTATGATATTTACGTGTTTGATGATAATATTGAATTTTTAAGGGTAATGATTTGAGACGACTGTAAAGGAAGTGGTGATGAAAGAGCAGGTCAAAAATGAAGATGAACGTGCCTGATTTTGAGGAACCAATGTCAACGTCCACTGTGACAATGGAAGTTATGGAGACGGATAATTATGGCGTCGAGGCTGAATTAACCAGCTTATCTTGGCTACAGTCTCTCGACATCACAAGTGCATCGAGTCTACCAACTCCACCATGTTCGCCGTCACCACCCCCGGTTCCTCGTCAACCGGCCAAGAAGATGTCCCCTTTGCTCAAAGCTGAATTAGGTACACTATTTTTCTATTCGGTTTCATCAATTTTACATCTACTATTTACTATTTTTACATTAAGGTATACTATTTTTTTAAAGCACATCAGATCTACTATTTCTATTACACTTTTATCATAATTACGAATGAAGAATTCGACTTTATCAGCAATAACACAGGTCGACAAGATTTACTTTCCAAGAATCAGACAATACTTTTCCGAAAGTTTTCGACGTGCTGAATCCGAATCCGGCCAATATGGCGGACGATTTTGGAAATCTGACATCGAATTCGTATTCAATTATACCGAAAATCCGAACAACTATATTTGAAATTTAAATGTTTGTAGGTATATTCTTCTTTATTATCCAAGTTTTTTTCGTTTCTACTCAGTTTTCGAAGAAATCTCCAAACTCAGAAAATTGAATGAACGACTATACTCACAGGCAAATAAAGATTTTTTAAATTTTCAAAATGAATTTTAAAGGGGTAGAGTAACGCTTTTACATGCAATATTGACTTTCTGGAGAAAAAATTATATCTCCCGATGTTAAATGACGTCAAATATAGCTAAAAACGGGTTTTTTGCAATTTTAGGTTAAAATATCTGGAAAACCTGACGTGCAGGGTGTATTCCGAGGCCGGATTTCGATTTAGCACGTCGAAAACCTTCGGAAAAGTATTGTCTGATTCTTGAAAAGTAAATCGAATCAAATTTTGTTGGCCTGTGTAATTATTAGTGACATTTATTAAATGTCTCATTTTTCTTACACTTTTAAAAATAGCAATCTCAGGCTTCACACTCAATAATTAATTTCAAAAAAGTATCAAAAAGTAGCTTTAATACTGAAAAAAGCAGTAAAAAAGTATCTAACGAAAATTAATTTTAATAACAAATAAAAAAAATTGTTTTAGTCGATTCACAAAAATTTGATTCAGTATATTTATTTCCCTGACTGTTTCCTGATTTCAATCAAAAATATTTATTTTCATTCTAATCCTTTAAACTTTAATTCTAAATTTTTGTAAAATTCAATTATTTTCTAAATTGTTAACCTAAAAACTACAATATTGTATTAAAATATAATTTTTCAAGGAAACAAATAAAATTATTTAATAAAATTTAATTTAAATTTTTCACAGAAAAAATAAATTAATTATCTTTTAAAATTAAAAATTAAAAGAATATAAAAATATAAATATATTAAAATTAAAATTTAGTTATTTCTAAAAAAAATCGTACTATAACGCTTATAATATTCAATTATTATCTAAAATTTCAACTGAAATTTGTTTTTAAATCAATTCTTATTAAAAAAATCAACTGAAATTTAATTATTTTAATGCAAAAATTAAATAGTATATTAAATAATTGAATGTTTCTCAAAATTAAATTTTTATAACGAATTTATCAATTTTTAAAAAAATAATTGAATTTATGAGAAGTATTTTATTATTTATAAAAATAATTGAATTCTTGAGAAGAATTATATTGAATTTATTTTAAATAATTGAATTCTCTTTAAAAAATTTTATTAAAATTTTTAAAAGTAGGTAAAACTGAATTTTTGAGAAGCATTTTATTATTTATGCGAAAATAATTATATTCTTGTTATTGCTTGTGGAAATAATTGAATTTTTGTGGTTGAATTTTATAACAATTTTTTTAATTGATTGTCTTGAAAAAATTTTATGAAATATTTTAAATATATAATTATTCAATTCCTATGAAAATTGTATTACTTATAAAAAAATTGAATGTTCTCTCTAAATTCGAATTAGTAAAAATGCTTACTAATTTGAATCAGTGACTGACTTTATGCTCTTGAATTAGTCAAATTTATTAATAAAATTGACTATTTTATTTAGTCAGTCACTAATTCAAATTTAGAGAGTTTGCGAAGAATTTTATGAAAAATCTTTTGTGGAATTTCATTAAAATTGTATAGGTATTAGGGTGGTTCTTATTTTGGAAAAGTTGGAATTTCTTAGGTAGCCGGCCGTAATTTCAATTAAAATGTGAAAAAATGAGCTACCCACAAGAACAGCCCATTTGATAAATATTAACCCGTGCCGATGAAGGGTTAAAATTTAAATGCGGGGTTTAAGGGGCCGTACACATAATACGTCACGCGATTTTTGACCATTTTTGACCCCTCCCTCCCCCTATGTCACACTTCGTCACAAACCTTGAACCCCTCCCTCCCCCTACGTCACGTCACACACGTAAATTTCACTGTAAATTTTATACATTGGACATTATATATTATATACAACACTCTAAATTATTGAATCAGTTAGAAATAACTTATTTAGAAGCAAGAAATCAGTCACTAATTCAAATAGTTATATTTTTTTCTGACAATTAGTTAAAAATAACTGATGTTTCAATAAAATTTTTTTGGATTGATTCAATTATTAGTCACGTTTAACTACCTACATAGCACCGAAACTTTCCTAACAATTTATTGAAGGCAAGCTTCGAAATATTTAAATATGTTTAGTGAAAATTGTATAAAGATTTAAATATCCCACTTCAATAATTGTTTAGCGCGAAACTTTCCTGAAAATTTAACTTAAATTTTCAGCAAAATTTTTACGAAAGTATAGTCAAAAGTGTAATTAAATGTTCAGGAAAGTTTCAAGCTATATTTTTAAGAAAATTTGACGATAAACATTTATTGGAGTGAGAAATTTAAATCTTTACACAATTTTAAATAAACTAATTGCTAGTAAACTTTTCGAAGTATGCAAGCAAATCTTTAATATACATATATTTAGAAAAGTTTCGGTGTTTTGTGGATAATTTTTCAGTTATTTTTAACTGATTCAGATACAAAAAGACAGTAACTGCTGATTGCCAGTTTAAACCATGATTTTTAACTGATTCAAATTAAGACAATATATTACTTATCATATTATAAATAATATACCAATAGATGTTAAACAGGTACATATAATAGATATTAAATCGTTTAGAGCATTTTTAACTTGTTTTATTTAGAAAAAGTGCCATTGTCACATATAATTTCTTATAATCTTTGAATTTAAAAGATTGTGACGTAACACATGAGTTCACCCCCCCCCTCCCCCATGTCACACTTAGTCACAATTCTCAGACCCCCTCCCTCCCCCTAGCCGCGTGACGTATTATGTGTACGGCCCCTAACATGGGTTTGGTGCACATCTGCAAACTTTGTATACAAAGTTGTTTCCATAGTTTTTCGCTCGCTGAACACGAATATGATGTCAAAAATAACTTTTGACAGCTACCGGTTGTCAAAATTCTGTCAAATTTTGAAAAATGAGAATTTTCACGACTTTTATATTAACTTCTACGTTAAAAAAGGTTTCTTGTAAAAATTTCAACTTATATATATATAACAATTTAATACACTTTGACAGTTGACGCAGCTGTCAAATGAGTTGTCAACTTTTATAAATATCAGTTTTCAAAGAGTTTTAAATAAATTATCACAAAAAACGGTGCTGAGGTTAAATTTAGTTCATATATATATATATATATATATAGGTATTTAATATATTTTAGCAGTTGACAGCTATCATAGTGTATTAAATTGCTAGATATAAACTGAAATTTTCAAAAGAAACCGTTTTATTCGTAGAAGTTATTGTAAAAGTCGTGAAAATTCTCATTTTCAAAATTTGACAAATTTTTGACAGCTTTTTGAAAACCGGTAGCTGTCAAAAGATATTTTTGACATCATATTCGTGTTCAGCGTATATGAAAAACTGTGGGAATACATAGACCCAAGTCAAATTTTTAAGAAATGAAAAAGTTATATAATACAAAGTTTGCAGAAGTGCACCAAACCCATGTTAAACTTCATTTAAACTTTAACCCTACGTCGGCACGGGTTAATATTTATCAAATGGGCTGTTCTTGTGGGTAGCTTATTTTTTTGCTTTTTAATTAAAATTCGGGCCGGCGACCTAAGAAATTCCAATTTTTCCAAAATAAGAACCACCCTAATAGGTATAGATATTGAAAATCATTGATTTTGGAAAAGTTTTTGAGAATATTAATTGAATTGTTTTAAAGAATTTTGTTGCAATTTTTAGAATTTTTTTTAACTATTAGCGAATTTAAAGTGAACCTTGTTTGTTTCAGATCTAGTCGAGAATGCTGATAGATATCGCACAGATTGGAATGCAAAACCTCCTTTTTCATACGCTACTCTTATATGCCTTGCCATGCGAGCGAACAACAATAAACTCACTTTGTCAAATATTTATGCCTGGATTCGTGAAAATTTCTTGTATTACAAGCACGCCGATCCAGCCTGGCAGGTAATTAGTTGTAATGATTCGATTGTCATATTTCCTTCACAGATTTCTAAGCATCTCAAATTGAGAGCAAAACTGCATCAAAAAAATGCGATGCAACGCCAATGTTTTGATTAATGTTAATGCTCTAAAGAGTCAATGGTCTCAAAACACAAAAACCTGGTCTCAATTTTGTTGCAGCTCAAAATGAAACAATATTAAACGCCATAGAACCTGACTCCACAAGTCTCTCACTTGCAGCAAAAATTAGTCTCTTAAGTGAAGCCAGGTTTTTCCAGTGAATTTGAGAACCTTAAAATACAAGTCATATCCATTGTATCCATAAACAAAAAAATGTCGACAAAAATAATTCTCAAGAGAACCTTTTCTTCCAGAATTCCATTAGGCACAACTTGTCACTCAACAAGTGCTTCGTGAAATTGCCTCGTTCAAAAGACGAGCCGGGAAAAGGTGGCTTTTGGAAATTAGATCTTGGCCGCATTGAAGAGGGAAAACGAACAAGGCGACGAAATGCAACGACACGAAGCAATCGGCGTTCTAAAAAAGTGCCACAAACCACTGAAGTGACTACTCAGTTAACGGTGACAACAGGACTGTATGAAACTCCGCCAAATAGTGTCTCACCTCCTATTCCAGACAGCCTATCAGAAGTGCCTGAATCAACTCAGGTCAGTCTCACGGAAGAAGATTTAACCGGACTTTTAATTTCCACGGTTGGTTGGGACGAAAATCAATTAGAACTCCTCGACTCATTACTGGATTCCCTCTAAATATAATAATCAATCCTTTATATTCCTTTCGACGATTCTTTTCCGCAATAATCATTCAAACATATTTTGGGTCATTTATACATATTTTCCTATTATGCATGATATATACTATATAGAGAAAAAGATTCATATATAAATAGTGAGTGAAATAATAATAATAATAATCAATGAGATTTCTGTTTCATTAAATAAAAACGTGGAAATGAAAATCAAGTCTTGCAATACTGTTTTAAAGAGAAGATCTAAATTTGAAGGGACATTGATTCACGCAAAAGTGAACAAACTGAACAAACTGAACAAAATGAGCAAAGTCAATGAATCAGAAAAATCTTAACAGAATTGTGCCACTGATAATAAAAATTAATAAGATTACGACTTCTGATGATTGCAAACAAAGGATTTTCACCTTCTTAAAGTGCTATTACATTTCATTTCTATTTAAAATATATCTTGAAGATTGATGATCCTAATGTTCTGAACATTCAAATGAACGAATTTTATTTATTCTTTCAAATTTCTGTATCATTTTGATCCAATTGAGAATAAATTTGATACTTTTAGGAAAACTGTGAATTTGTAATACAAATTATGCGTCTATATGAAAACGCTTTTCTTATAAACTTATTTCTAAACGTAAAATTTAAGCTTTTAATTTTTATTGCAGTCACAGTAATTTATAAAAATGTAATAAAAAATATTTCCTTCACTTGAATGATCCGAACTTGTGGATCATTGTTTTAGTCCTTTCCTTTAGTTAAGAAATACTTTTCAAGTAATAACAATTTGGAAGTTGTATTTTTTTTAATTGAAATCTTCTCTCTAATTGTTTGACTAAAATTTAATTTTTCAATGAGTTAAGTGTAAACAAGTCAAGATATACCAAAGATTTAATTGTCCTTATTTATGAAAATGTTACATATCGCTATCCATTTTTTATACATAACAAAAAAAATATATATTTAAATCCGTTTCTTTATTTAATGTCTCGTTTGTTGTGGATACGTGAACTATCATCGCCTTTGTAGATTTTAAATATACACACAGTTTTTCTAAGGATGTCAAATTGAGACAAAAATCGTATCAAAAGGTTGCATTGTAACAATTTTGATACGTATTTTTGGTTTAATTTGATATCGTTAGAAAACTTGTGAGCTTTTATAGTATAGATTTTAATCAAGTTTATTAAAACTTTTATTGGATATAACTACCGACTGTGCCCAATAAAAAATGCCTTTTAATTGTTATTTCACACTGAAAAAAGAAATCTTATAATTTTAGCGAATTTTTCAAATTTTTAATGCGTATTTTCCTTTTAATATAAAAGTACTTTTTTCGGCTGTTGAAATGTTAATTTGATAAAAAATGTGGGCGATTCATTTAATATAATGTACATATTTTTGCGTAAAGATGAAATACTGTTCTTTCACGCACTCAAATACAATTATTTAATATAATTAAATTATTATATTTATATGTATATCTTCTATATCACTTTCCTATTTATTAGTAATTTTCTTATTTCTTCAACTTCTCATAAATCTTTTATATCTATTGTTTTCGTTTATTCCGCATCTACAAAGGATATAATTTACATGTATCCTAATATATTTATTGTTGCGAAAAAGAGCATCACAAATTTTCAACAAAACCTTCAAGGACTCTATTATACCTAAGTGCCTATAAAAAAATTAATGTGTAATTCTTAATGAATTCTTCCGTCCATTGAATTGTAAAAGAAAAAAAAAGTTGTTTAGTTAAGTAAATGATGTTAAAAATTCGAGCTTTATTATTAGAATGAACTGTTTGACATGCGAGTCCTTAAGGGTAAAGGAATTGCTAAACGATGATTAAAGATCATTTGTATATATCAACGTATTTATATAATTTACCATAAGTTAATTTATTAAATTAGTTGTACTATATAAGTAGTGAAATACTAAAATCGTTTCAATTGGTGTGACGCATGTTATTGCGCTCCGATTTTTGCCTTTTCAGTATCCGTCCAAAGAATTAATATAATAATAAGTAATAAACTTGTAAGAAGTTAAAAAATCAGTTAGAAAGAAGAAATCTTCAATTTTTTGATTAAAGATCGAAAATACTGATTTTATTGAAAATTTATATTGTACATAATGTTGAGTTAAAAAAAAGACTTTCTATAGTGTAGATAATAATTTCTTTTAATAATTTCTGCAGAATAAAAATAATTCTATCATAAATCATAACTTCATCCTTTGTTACATAAACCTAAAATAATGAGAAAAATGAGAAAAAAAGAATAATATTATGAAAAATTTAACATTCCAACATTTTAACTAATAATACAAATGAGCAAGTTTTCTAATATTCTGATGTCATAATTATATGCTCAATCAAATAAATGTAGGTTGTCTATAAGAGTAATTATCAATTAATAAAATGAATATATATAAAAACAAATTTAGTTTCTTTCAAGTTGCGTATAAAAAGATAATGATTAATTAATTTTATAATTATAATTTACTAATTGAAAATTACTGTTAAGCTACATTATATACTTTATTGAAAAAAAGTTTGTCGTTTGTGCCTTAATAAGTGCGCATGCTCTAAAGTTATTTGAATTAAATCTTTAGTTAATTTCAGAAAATTATTTATGATTCTAAAGTTTCGAACGTTCAAATAAAGAACTTTTTTTGTATTTCTTCATCAAATGAAATTTTTATTACAATTGCCTCACTATCAAAAAAATTAATTATAACATCTGAATGTAAAATCCAAGCTTTTAATTTTGATTGAATTGCAGTCATAGTAGTTTCTAAAAAAAATATTTGTAATAAAAAATATTTCGTTTATTTGAACGATCAAAACTTTATGGATCAAAATTATTTAGTTTTAACTTTTAAATAAACTTTGCCAGATATTAGGATTGAATTTAAAGAGTCATGTACAATTCGCAGCTTTCATCTAAATGAAAAACAAAGTGCTCAATGCAGAATGTCAAATGTAACATCAATCAACTAATTAATGAGTATATGCATCCTCGTCTTTATTCTCAAATGAAATAACAAATTGATGAAAAGAAGAAAATAACAGATTTGTTATTAAAAAAAATTAACGTACACTTTTCAATTTACCTAACATGTTGATTTTTATAACTTTTAATCACTAACTCCCAAAAGTATGTATCAAAAAAATTCTATTCATTAGTTGAGTGATTGTTAACAAGAATTTGTAAGAGTACTAATAATTACTGTAAGAATACAAAATATAGAAGTGAATGTCAAACCAAAGTGAAATCATTTATTAATTATCGAAAATCCTAAAATCTATACCTAATGCCTATTTTAGTAAACACATTTTTACCAAATTTTCCGTTACGAAAAAAATTAAAGAAGAATAAAACCCAGAGGTAAAAACTGTTTGATATATAAAATTGTAAAAACGCAGTAAAAGTTATGATTATGTTCACATATATTTTATCATTAATAAACATATTATTTTATAGCGATTCTATGTCAGTCTTTCATCTTAATAAACAAATTAATAACATATTTCCTGATTATTTATTTTAATTTATTTTGAGCAACAGACCTTTTAACGAAAAGGTCTTTATTTTTAAAGTTGATTTAAATTGCGCAATTTTTGGATTACACGGAACACAATTTTATTATTATTATTAAATATAAAATAATAAACTTTATATAATTTTACACGATTTCAGATTGCGATAATTGCCAAAAGGCAAGCGCGGTTATTGCCCGCGGCATTAACCTCGACCCAGGACAATGTACATACGTATTTTGTACGGCTAATGTAGCTCAAATTGTGACTCAAAGAAAAAACTATATTCAAACTCCTTTCTCCAATAACTGATAATATCAACTATTATTGGACATAATTATAAACTCATTGTATCTGAATAGGTCATTGCAAAAACTACACAGATTTTTCAAAAAACTTTTCCTCTTGCTAACAAAATTTCACAGTGAAAAGAAAAACTAAAGAAAAATATTACAATTTGTTTAAGTTTACGATTTAAAGAATATATAATAATTATTATAATTTAAATAATAAAGATCTTAAAGTTATTTGTTTGGCCTAATATAAGTTGAAGATCTTTATTATTTAAATTTTTTTTGAAAGATATTAGGTCGAAAAGTGAAAAAAATATAATTAATAAATAATAAATTTAAAGTCAATTTAAAAATTAAAAAAAAATTTAGAAAAATAATCATTTTTCCCTTTTGTTTACAATATCACAATAATTAACGCATTGTGAAAACTGAGTAATATTTCTAATTATTATTTTTATAATTTACAAGAGTTTTATTGATTAATGGGTGTATGTAGAGCTATATGTATATAACTGGAAAAGCCAGTTTTACAGCTGTCGTAGTTCTAAATTGATCGATATTTCAAATGATCTGATTAAGTGTAACAATCCAATATTACCTTGAAATACAGATATAAGTAATAGTTCTAATCATATTTAGAAAAAAAGAAAAAAAGTGCAAACTTGTTCTGTTCATAAAATGCTCACGCCTCCCAAACACATTATATATATAATTTATGTTTATGCCACTCTAGTGTAAGTAAATAATACCATATTTTTGACATATTATTATTTTATTGATGGAATATTCTATTAATATATATTATTTCAAAATCGCATATTTCCACATTCTCATATTAAGAGTTTTCTCTTCGATTTATCATTTTTTTTAATCTTTTGCTCTTTAAGAAAGTTTTATGCAATATATTACGTTTGAAAAATAGTTTGCATGCAAAATTCAATTTAATTAGTGCTGATTAAAAGTTTGCAGTTTTTATATTCAAATGTTTTCCAATTTTTTAATTTTATTATTTCAAATTTTTAATTTTTAGGGATCTTAATTTTTTTAATTATTCCCCTTATTCCCAAATATACTAAAATTTACTGGAATTTTGGTTTTTATAAGTTTTAAAATGCTTGTGAACTAAACCGCAATAATTAAACATTTGAAGGTCAATTGACCAAAGTATTAAAGTTGTATAAATAAAAAAGGTTTGAATATTAATTTATTTTACACTTTAAAAAAAAATTAATCATACCGCACTAGACTTGGAAAAACATTTTCTTTTTCTTCTAAGTGTTACTATTACGGAAAAGGTCATTGCTCGTTAATTATAACTTAATAAAGCCGAATTCATTTTGTAAATAATTTTTTTAAATATGCAAATTTCAATAATAATTAAAATAATTATTACAAATGTATTTGAAAATTACAAATTTATTTAAAAATTACAAATTTATTTGAAAATTATAAATTAAATTGTAATGAACAATTATTAATTTTTCAATTAATTTTTATTTTTTATAAATAATTTACTCACAAACAAATATTAAAATTTTTATGGAATAAAGCCAAATAAATAATTAAATAAATAAATCTAATAACAAAAAACTATACAATAAACCAAACATTTGTTTGATTCAACTAAATGTTTGCTTCAGATGACAAAATTCTTTCTTCGGATGCAAAATTTATTAAACTGAATGAAATGTTTATTTAAATTAAATAAATATTTATTAAATTTGAACAAACTTTATTCAGAGTAAACCAAAAATAAGGCCTATTCACTAAAAAAAAATTGATTTGATTCAAATAACCGATTAGTTATTATCAAATACATATAAATGTTTACTTGAATCAAATAATTTTCATTTATTTCAATTAAATTTGGATTTTTATTTTAAATTTGTATTTGAACCAATAATTTCAGTATTTGAAGCAAATATGAACTGAACCGTTTATATGACTTAAAAATTATTTGATTCAAGCAAATATTTAATTGATAATAGTCAAGCAATCGATTATTTGAATCAAATCCATTTTTTTTCAGTGTACAATAAATGGATTCAAACATAATTTTCCCCTTAGTGTTACATATTAAAATTAAATCTTGTTTTAAGATATAAAGTTTGAAATTAATTGAGTATTGAAAATAAGATTAGTTTTAATTTAGATAATTATCTTTAAACATTGAAAAAGTGACAAATTATCATTAAAAATCTATTCTGAAAATGAATAAACTTCTCTTAAAATAACCAATCAAGTGTCTATTATCGTATCCAATAAATATTTACTTGAATCAAATAATTTTCATCTAAATTAATTGAATTACTTGAATTAATTAAACTTGGTGATCAATAATATTGTAATACAAAATGTTGATGTTTTACAGATTACAATACACAACTAGAAATAAGATTTATTTGATCGTATCTCAATAAAGATATATTGAATCGACTCATGCATTTACTTGTAATCTGACAATTTGTTGAAATACACAGTACAAAGTGTAAACATATTTCATATTGAAGGCATTTAGTATTTTAATATCACACTAATTACATGCATCAGATGTGAAAAATTTGACAGAAGTGTGTCAAATTATTAACATGTAAAATTGCCTAATTATTGTTAATTTTCCTCATAATTGTAAACAATTATCTGTTTGACAAATCCTATAATTGAATGTAAAACTATTAACGCCCCTTTACGCCGGCCGCAGGTTCCACACAACATTCATTTACTACTATGTATCGCTATCTCTCTTTTCTCAATTGGAAGTGGAAAAAATTCTCGTTGTCACGAACCAAAAAATACACAAGTTATAACACACTTTTTGTAATGAAAGTCCTACGTACTATTCAAGAGCTTTGATTCATGCAGGGCCGGGGAAATAAATGTTTGTTCGCCGAGCGATATATCGTAATGAACAATTCAAATCTTGTATAAGAAAAAAGATGAATGATTTTTAAATTTTCTCCGTCTTGTATTTGAGAATATTGTTAAAACTGAACAATTTAAAAGTGTTGAAATGGAAAAATGAATAATTTTTCATTAGAAGGCAGATAATGTGGTTTTTATTCAATTCCCCCAGCCCTGCATTAACAGCGCACATAACAAATAATGTATATACAGATCAACTTAAGCAAGCTGCCTCTCTACTACTTAGCACTTATAGAAAATAAGGATTTTTTTAAAAATGCTTTAACTGCTTATTATGAATTCCGCACAAATCTCTCAGGGTATAAATACAGTTCAGAAATAAGTGGAATCAAACAATTTGCTTCTTGCAGTCGAAGAATTAGCACCATGTTCAAGGTAGGGTGAAAAGGGAATTCTTCCCTTTGCAAAACATTAATATGTATTTAAAAGAAATCAACTCATTTTTAGACACAAGTGCTTGAAACTTTACTGAAAAAAGTGCTTAATATAAAAATTGTCCCTTTCGTCTAATTTAAATACCTTAATTAGATTTTATTACAAATTAACTCTAAATTCGACAGTTTTTCTGCAGATATCAAATTGAGACAAAAAACGAATCAAAAGTGTTGCAATTAGTGTTGTACTTATTTTTCTCTATTTGATATCTGCAGAAAAACTGTCGAATTATTGAAAATTCATCAGCACTAGTTCTAATTATATGTACTAAAAAAATTTTACTATTTCATTTAGAGGTTTCAAAATTTTTCTCGAGTTTTAATGGAAAATTACTAAGATTTAGTAGAAATTTTTACTAATTTTAACTTGCATAATTTTTCACTAATTCAGATTTAAAGAGATTATTATTTAATTTTTATGAGTTAGGAATATATGAGGAGCAAGTTTTCAAAACATGATAAATCCATATTTTCATATTTTGGGAAATTAAAAAAAATGTTTATAACCCTTATAACTCTGAGATCAATAAAGTGTTCATTACTACCCTAGGACAATAAAGTTTCCATTAATGCCCTAGGGCAATAAAGTACTCATTATTGACTTGGGTAAATAATGTACTCATTATTACCCTAGGGCAATAATGGTCACTTTATTGATCAACTGGGCACTATGACACTTGATGCATAATTTTTCACATAATCACTAGTTAATTTTATACCAGAAAAAATTAATCTTACATTTAGAGGCAAAATCCTGTTCTAATATTCTCCCAATTTATTCACTCAAAACAAATGTATTTCACTTGAACATATAAAATATTTTTATACAACTCAGGCGTATTATGGTCACTTTATCTACCTGTACAGGCGCGTACTAAGTTCCCCCTTATAACCCAGCAGTCAATAAAGAAACCATTATAGCCCTAGGGAGATAATAGTTACTTTATTGACCAGCTGGGTTATATGGAAGAACTTAGCATGCACCGGTACAGGTAGCATAGAGTAACCATAATACGCCTTTGTTGTATAAAGCAAAGTATGCAACAAGGGAGGTCACCTCGTTTATTGCATAATGTACTATTATTTTTTGTCGGTTAATAATAAAACAAAACATTTTTTTGAGATTCTGATGTTAAAAATCATTAAAATAATGGGAAATAAATAAATAAATATATAAATTAATTAATTAATGTAAGCAAATAACTATTAATTATTAATCATTAATTATATTTATTTAATTTAATGCATCAGAATTGCTTTTTTACATTAGTTCATAACCATAATAATAAATTGTCAAAAAATATACGAGAGGAAAATTCTCTTGAATATTATTTTTTTTAGACTGTAAGATAGAAACTTTGTAATAATTTATTTCTATAACAATGTTTTTATATTTGCGACATTCTGTTTTTAATTTCTCTTTATCATAATTAAGTGATTTTTAAAGTTTTTGGTATTTTGTTTATAAATAAAAATTATAGATCATCTGGTAATGTCGAAAAGTTTTAAAGTTTAAAATTCTTTGTTAATATTCAAAAGTAATTGACCGATTTGTAAGATTTTGAAAATATTAAAATTTTGTTTATTATTCTCTTTTTCGAAAAAAGAATTTATTTTTGAAAACTTGCTTCTCATAATATGTAGTTAAATTATAAAATTTCGAATAAAAATGTCATTCTCTTATGTTTGGATAAAATTAATAATAAGTTGCAATATAATATCAGATTTTATAATAATTGTGTATTGTTATTTTTTAGCTTTTCATTCTTGCCTGCCTTATGGCAGTGACCTACGCCGGAGTCGTAATTCCAGCCGCTAAAGTTGTTGCAGGTAATAAAAATTAATTTCCAATTCCCTCAATATTTTCATATTTCAAAATAAAATATATTTCTGATTTTAAAACACAGATTTCTTGCTAGTATCAAATTCATGCTAAAGTGTATCAAATTTTTGGTACCAATTCGTTACAATTTGAAACTATAAAGTTAACAGTGAATTTGTTATAATTTCAATTTTTAAAATTAATTTAATTAATTTTTTAAGAATTTAAGGAGCGCTACACTGTAAAAAATTTTCCGAGTTAAAAATCAACTCCAAAAAACTCCCTTTTGGAGTTTATTCTTATTTTTACTGTGTAAATTTTAACTCCCTTCGTTTTAACTCCCAAATGGGTGCGAATTTTATAGAATCCCCTGGGGAGTTCTTTTTTTACGCAGTGTAATGGTCGAAATAAATATTTTCAGTAATTCCTTTTCTCATTTATATGTGTAAAATAATTGTAATTAATTTCAATATGAAAGTATGTTTACTGCTCTCCCTTTCTTTAAAAAAATTGAAAATCTGACTTGGTAGTTTGTAATCTAAAGTGAAACAAATTTCTTCTTCCAGCTCCCGCCGTTGTTTGGGACAAGGGTGGATGGAGCAACGGATATGGATGGGGCAATGGTGGCGGATGGGGAAATGGAGGATGGGGTAACAACGGTGGATGGGCAGGCAATGGAGCTTGGGGAAAGGGAGGATGGGGAAATGCCGGATGGGCCGGTAATGACGGTTTGGGAAATGCTGGATGGGCCGGCAATGGTGCTTGGGGAAAGGGAGGAGGATGGGGAAACGCTGGATGGGCCGGTAACGGTGCCTGGGCTGGTAATGGAGCTTGGGGTAATGGAGCCTGGGGCAATGGTGCCTGGGGAAAAGGATGGTAAATTTCCCTCTGTGAGATATTTTAATTCGGTATAAGATTTTTGTAAAAAGTGTCAGTAATTCGTCGATTTGATATTCTCTGTACAAAGTTTTTGTAAAATAAATTATTAGAAAAAAAAAAAAAAATGATAAAGGGTTTTTACTTCCCTAACATATACTTTATTTTCCTTAAAGGCATTTGAACCATGACGTCGCAGTTTATGCAATGTGTTCTAAAACCGTGACGTCATAATGGTAACAATGCTCTTAATTACATTTAGATTCATAATATTATTAGCAATATAGTTAATTAACTATACTTGAAAATATTTAAGTTATTAGTATATATAGGAATTATTTAAATAGATTTTTTTTTATAAATATTGTTGAAAAAAGAAAATCATAAAAATTGTTTAAGTTAATAGCAGGTATATACAGGAATTATTTAAATAGATTTTGATAAATATTGTTAAAAAAACCAAATCATAAAAGTGTTGCAAGTATTTAAAGCGTGAATAAAATACCAAAAAATTTGCGGTGCTTTTATAGCACCATAAAATTTATCATGCATTTATGCAAATCATTTCATTCAGTTCAATGTACATACTATATTGTCTGACGCAAACTTGCACAGATCTTGCTATAGCAATAATTTGGTTCACTTAATGTTTGCTTGTATGGACAAAGAAATCAGTTTGTTTAAAAAATATATTATTTATACAGCATTAAAAAAAGGCTAAAAATATATTAACTTTACTTATAAATAATAAAGTAAAGATACCAAATATATTTGGTATCAAATTTCTATAGAAATTTGAATAGAACCGCCTTTTCTGAGATAAGCAAATTCATAATTTTCCAAATACCAGTATAAAAAAAAAATATCTTCGTCAACACCAATTCATAAATTACTGAGATATAAAAATTTTAAACTGTCGAATTATTTCTTAGGTTGAAAAGATTGAGAGTCACTAAATTCCTAACATAAGAGTTTATTCAATAAGATAAAAAGAACCTAACGTATGTTCACATTTCAAGGCATTTATTTCAACTGACTGAATATGATTTAAGTAAGAGATATATCGCCACTATCCCTTCTACCTTTTATAATTTCGGAATTGCTCTGGCTCGTAAAAGAGGTCTGTGAAACTGGCTGAACCACATTCATAAAAATTAATTTCTACTATGCCATTAATTAGTGCTCATTTCGTGCTAATTTTTTACCATATTGCCGAACTTAGTGCTTCATGTTTATTTTTAAAAAACACTGGTTCTGTTAAGATAACGTTCCGCTGAACGGACCAATACAAAAAACGCGTTAAAAGCGTCAAAAAAATATTTATCAATAGTCTGTAATTTAGTACTCAATTAGTGCTCAAAGATTAAACAAAACAAATTTTTTTAAGCTAAATTCCACAAAAAGAAAACAACAAAATTAACAAATTTTCGTTATTTAGTACATGTGATGAGAGCAGTTTTTTCACAAAAGGGTGGATCTCAAAAAATGGGTGTTTTTGAAGAGCCCAAATAATACATTAAGCTGAATCCGCTCAAAAGAAAACTAATAATGTTAAATTTTTAAAATTGTGGTTTTTTTATACATGTGGTAAGGGTAGTTTTTTGACCAAAGGGTGGAGTTTAAGGGTTCATACCACTTTACACACTTGAAAATGAAGCTATTTTCTAGAATTTTTTTTACGATTCCTATGGATTATATTAATCTGCATTTTTTTTAGTTCAATAAATACACTTTTTAACTTTATAAAAAACCTTATTTTATTTAAAAAATATTATTTGTTTATTTAAAATTTAACAATAATGTTGGACCTGCTAAAAATACCGATGCCAGCTGCGGGATTGATTTCTCAGGTTAGAAAAATCTAAAACACAAAATTCAAATTGATTTATCTTCAGTAGGACTGTGCCTATCGCCCGAACTAGAAATTTTTATTTTTATGCAAAAATAACAAAATGGCGGCAATTAAAAATTTTTTTTTCGAAAATTAAAGTTTTTTTAGCATAGTTTTTCGGTTTAAAAAAATAGTAAAAATTAATATTTTTAAATAATTCTAGTTCCGGCGATACCCACCCATGTGAAGAAGATTTTCGTAAAAAAATTTTGAGAATCGGTCCAGTAGTTTCCGAGAAAAACATCCCGCAGCATGGAAAAATGTGGTTTTGAGAAAAACGCGTTTAAAGTTTGTGTTTTATACTTACATAGCCGTGTACGCGCTCAAATAGCATTGAAAAAAATATATTTTGAGTGCTGGGATCTTTCTAAAAATTTTACACCACATTTTTGACATATTTTACTTTCGAAATCCATAATAAAAAATTTTTTGCTTTTTTGAAGATGACAAAGTGGTATGAACCCTTAAAAAACGAGTAAAGAATTTTTAAAGAGCTCAAAAATAATAAAGCAATTTGCCTTAAAATAAAAGAAAAATGTTGAATTTTAAGAATTTTCGATTTTTAGCACATGTGATAAGGGTAGTTTTTTTTGTTAAAGGGTGGAGCTATTGAAAAATATTTTTTTGACGCTTTTAACGCGTTTTTCCTATTGGTTAATTTTTATGAAAGGGGACTTTAAGTAAAAGTCAATAGAAAAAATTATAAAATATAAATTATTCTTTAAAAAAATATAAACTTACAGAAAATTTCCTCAAATGTTTGTATACCCGATCTCCGCAGACTGGAATTGCACTTGTACCGTTCCGGACGCACGTGTTAGCTAATTTGAAAAGACTTTTTAAAATTATGTACGATCGCGGTTTAAAGTATTTCGAACACTCCCGATTTTTACTATAAGATTATACTTTAATAAATTGACAAAGAATTCTAAAAAAATATTAATACACCCTTGGGTATCACTGGATGAATTAAATAAATTCGAACACTCCCAAAGTTAAAACACTGAAAAAAAAGAAAAGAAATACAAATTTTAATTAAGGATGATTTTAGAAGCACGTGATTAAATAAAATTTGCGTTCTTACATACATTCTACGAAAGTTTTGTAGAAACAGAAACACGTGATCGAACGAAACACGCGGCGATAATTTATTTCAAAATTTGCACCTTTCTTTCATCCCCACGCAGGTTGCAGAAGTATCCAGAGCTATATGCACGACTAAAGACGCGAAGTGGGGATATGAAATTGCGAGGAAAAAGAGGTAGAAACTCTCTCTCTCTCTCTCCTTTCAAAGTTCCATTATTTTTTTTTATGTAATATTCTTTTATATAAATAAACGGAAAAAATAAATTTAGCAGATTTTACAAGACTGTTACGGAGTAGCGGTTACAGCTTATTATGAAACTGAGTTTTGTAAAATTTAAGGAATATTTCAGGATAAACTTTAAAAATATTTATTTCTGTACTTTATCCTGAAATATTCCTTACATTTTACAAAACTCAGTTTCGTAATAAGCTGTAACAGTTTTATAAAATCTGCTAAATTTATTTTTTCCGTACACAATTCTGTTCCTAAAGGTGATTTCGGGTATTTCGATCATGCGAATCAACTAGATGTATTTTCATGGTTGTACCCCTAAATTTCATAGATTCGAACGAATATTCTATTTCCACAGACTTTGAATTAAAAATGAAATATTTAACAAAACTTATCAAATTTGGTGATCCTACATATTTGTATCGTTTATTTACATGAACAAAGAATTATTTTTTAATTATATGAAAAATATGTAATTCTTAATACAGTGGACTCCGCTTATAACGAGCTTCAAGGGATCGTTGAAATTTGCTCGTTATAGCTGAAGTTCTATAGCGCGCTATAAGCGAAGTTAAAGTAATACGTTTAATTAACATCGAGGGGGTATTTACTTGTGTATTAGCGAGTACGCTTCTCCCGTAATAGTCACGTAATAGTCAAGTAATAGAGTGTAATAGAGCATTATTACGTCAGTGTAATATTCTGTAATAATCAGTAATACCCTGTAATAGTTCTGTAATACCCTATAATACTATAGATAATACGAGTAAAAGCAGGAAAATTTAGTGTATTAGAGTGTACACCATTTTAACCAGTAATTACCCCCTCGATTAACATTGAAACCAACCAAGTGACAAAAATTTGTTCGTTATAACCAACTTCTCGTTATAAGCGGAGTCCACTGTATTTCTAATGTAATAAAGGTATGAACATTAATTAGTTTGAATTAAGATTTAACCCACTTTACGTAATTTCACTACAACCTCTACAACATTTTACTTCTTAGATCCCTTCCTCTAATTCACAAAACGTCAAAATTACTTTATAGATAGGTATATAATCATAAATATCCAAATACCTATATTGCATTGTAAAAATGCTTCTAAATTGACATTTATCTGTATATATAGTAAAATTGTAATATATTTTACAAGTGTTATGCACTTGCAATTCAAGTACATATTTGTTGTACCCATTACTAATAATAATCATATATGTATACGCACAGACGGTGGAACCCTCAAATGATGTAAACTCTGTTGCATGTTACTTTAACATCACTTTGCTATTAAAATAATACTTTTTTGACATACATTATACAAACATTCAAAATTGTATAAAGTTTCAAAGTTGAAATATGAGTATGAAAGAGAAAGACGAGGGTCTGATTTTCGTACTAATTTTTGACAAGTTTATTAACAGCTATATTCCCTAAAAAGTTTGACATAAATTTTGTAAGGAGACGATTTTAGTATATATAATAATAATGATGATTATAAAAATAGTTGTAATAATGATGATGATCATAATAATTAGAATAATACGTAACAATAATAATCTGTTAAAAATTAATTTATATAGTCATCCAACAACATTTTTTAAAAATAGATCCCAACTTGTCCATGGGGAGTACCTTGAAGGTGACCACTTTGATTCTAAATGAATCATACCTTATTTTATTGTTTTTCAAGACTAGGGTAATCAAATCCCATGTCGAAGATACAAGATACGCCTGATGCAATAAATAAGAACATAAGAAGGGTTCAGTTTAAAAAAATGCAACTTTAAGTTTTGTATAAATACGGTGATAGATTCAGTACTGTTATTCATTGCAACTTTTGAAATTGAAGAATTATCATTCTCAACAAGTCAATACCGCAAGAAAATGTTCAAAGTGAGAATCTGTTTTATTTACAACTATAATGTTATTATATTTTTTTGTTGTAGATGTCTAAGTTTTTAAGATGATTTTAAGTTTTTTTAAAAATATCAGTTTGATTTTGAAAAAGTAAGAAGTGTAAATATGTATTTTTGTTTAATGATTGTTATTCCTATTGTTTAGCTTCTTCTTACCGCTTGTGTAATAGCCGTTGCTCACGGTGGATATGTTGTTCCTCAACTGCAGCCAGTAACTACCAACTACGTTAGAGGTATTTTTATTTAATTATTTATTAATATGATTACATGGAGAAAAAAGAAGTTCAAGTTTTACACTCTTTTGCATGACACTTACTCTGAAGAGTATAAAACTAGTTTTACACTCCTCAGGGTAAGTTTAATATAATCCTTTTTTCTCCGTGTAAAATTTTTCTATTCAAATTATTCCATTGAAATTCATTAAAATTATGGCATTTAGTAATCATTATTATTTATAATTATTATTGCATTTAATAAAATAAACATCCTTCAATTTTGATCTCTTATTAAAATCAATAAAAAATGAGCAAAGTAAAAATTCTCAATTAAAAATATTGTTTGTCTCATTCATTAGGTGTTGTTGTACCTTACGGTATCGGAGGAGTCGGAGTTGGTCGCTATGGAGTTGGAGTTGGATCCGTAGTTGGAGTGGGACCAGTTGGAGTTGGAGTTGGTCCAGTAGGATCTGTCGTTGGAGTTGGCCCAGTAGGAGTTGGTGTTGGAGTTGGCGTTGGTGGCGTAGATTCTGTTCGAGTTGGCACAGTTGGACACGGTGTTGGTGTTGTAAATGGTTTGGGAGTTGTTTAAACCAAAAAAAAATTTTAATTTCTTCGATGAAAAATATGAAATGTTTAATGAGAAAGATAATTGAATGAAAATTTTGAATACCACTGAATGCGACGAAATTGAACATTTCAAGTTTATACAAGCATTTAGAAATTTCATCTCTTTTTAAAAATTGTATTTATTAATTTGTGAAATAAAGAAAAGTATTTCAAGTATTAACCCGATGTTTTATATTTTCTTTGTATAATATCTAAAGAACTAGTTCATAACAATGTGTAAATCTCAAATTGAAACCATAGCATCAAAATGTTGCACTGCAAAAATTAAGATACGTTTTTTTGTCTCAATTTGATATCCTTAGAAAAATTGTTCCTTTACTTTAATGATTTATATAGGTACTTAAACTTTTTTTTGTTATATTTAATGGACTTGAACGAAATGTTTCCGTCTTATATATATAGTATTCTCTAAAGAATAATTTAATTTCAGGCGCGGATGAAAAAATTTCAGCTAATAATATTTAGCTACCCGAGCTAAACTTAATTGCTTTCACAAGTGGATAGTAATTATTTTTAACTGATGCAGCTATAATAATTAATTTTCACAACAAAACGTTTTTTGTATAACTAATTATTATAGCTACTGTACAGTAAAAATTTACTTATCTATAAATAGAAAATGTGTTTTTTGTGTGCATTTCAAAAACAAATTTGTTTTCTTTGTAAAAAAGAGTTTTTATTTATGAAGAGAACAATGAACTTTAGCACTCAGTGGCAGAGGATGTTGCACTATATACAATAGATAATTTTTTACATTAGAAAATTTGAATTTCGAAGATTAAAGTATAACTACTTTTCATGTAACTGGCTCACGCTTATTCACTGCTTGCAGTTTAACTAGCTAAATGCCTACATAGGTTGCATTTGTTAAAGTAGCTGATGCAATAAACGTCATATTGCAGTGTACTCTTGTAGTTGGATAAAAATGTGGACTTTTATAAAATTATCGAGAGCTCTGTATAAAATCACACAGGGCCAGAAATATAAATACCCCCTCGAGAGCAAGGAAAATCATTCAATTTTCTTCTTGCATCTGAAGAAGTAGTTCTAAACATGATGAAGGTAGTATACAAATTAAGTATAATTTTTTATTGCATTGTTCTTTAATTAAATATTTTAAACGATAAAATAAAATAACAATTTCATAATACTTGTAAACTTTTTTAAATTCCGTATTTTTAATTAATTATCATTACTTGCAATTTGCAAATACTTAAAAAACGTTTCTATTTTGTGCATAGTTCGTTGTTGTTTTCGCTTGCCTTTTGGCTGTGGCTTATGGAGGAGGACTCACTGGTCTTGTTGGACAGAGCCATTTGGCTGCTCCCATCAAAATCCAAACTGTCATTCCTCATGCTCCAATTATTAAAAGTACGTTGTCTTTAATTTATATTTTCTTAATTGACAAATCATTCAATATGTTTTCTATATGTAAATTTGTAATATTTCATACAGTAATAACAAAGCAAAAAATGTTTTACATTTCAGCTCCAATTTTGATTCCCAAAATCCAAGGTACTTGTATTTTTAATCTTTTTATATTTATTATTTATTTTATATTTTATTTTTATATTTATTTATCTTTTATATTTTTAATCTAAATAACGTATGATGACAACAAAATGTATTTGTTAATTTTGGCATTTCTCTTATTTGTCAAATTTTTAATCCATTTAATAATCCGTTTAAAAAATTGAGTCCGTGCAGAATATTTGCAATTTCCTGGCGCCAGATTTGACAATTTCTGCACGGGAGATTTTAATTAACCTAAGAAACTAACAATAATTAAGGGGCTGGATGCTATAATGTGTTATGCGCCATTCACTTAACACATTATAGCATCCAGCCCCTCAATTAAAGTTTGAATATCTATTATGTTATTTATTAAATATAGTTTCAGCTCAACCAGCTTTTGTTGTAAATGGTCATGGTCTTGAGCTCGGTCATGATATTGGTCTTGGCGTTGGTCTTAACAAAGGATGGGGAGGATGGTAAAATCTAATCATCATTGGACTTTTGGATAGAAATCAAAATTGCAACTAATAAGAAAAATTCTATTTAATTCGACTTGACACAAAATTCTCTAAATAAGAACTACGTCTATAAAGAAATTGAAATTATTACTACAGAATATGTAAACAGTAACTAAATAAAAAATATCTGATGCAATAAACAAACATTTATTATTTATCATAATAATCATTCATAAGAATGTATAGTAAGATTTTAGTTTCTCTCCTATAAGTTATATATATATATATATATATATAGAATCATCTCTCTGCGCATTAGGATTTTTCGGAAGCTTATTACTGTCTAAGAATTTTATATTACCATTTTTTTTTAAATGTATTGAAGAATATAATATATTCTCGTATTTTATATCGTTTAGTTTTTTATTATTTCGAACTTTTAAATATCTGTGCATATTTCTTTCATAAAAAGGCGGAAAAAAAATTAAAATTAAATGCACGATTATACATTTAAAGAACAAAAATAATTTTATCATTTTAACAATCAACAATCTTACTTATATGTATTGAAGGTTGGTCACCCTTAATTAAATGGAAAGTTTAATAATATGAGCATTTTCAAGGTTCAAGCTTAATTTAATATTAATTTTCAAGAATATTTGAAATTTAAAGAGGATAAGAAGCGAAAAGTCATTAACGACTTACCTTCATAAATTATTAGAATTAATTACTTAGAATTAGTTACCGGAAATTAGTTAACTAATTCAAATTTCATTTCATTTCAATGATTTGTGATATACATCTCGAATATGCTAATATGATTACGAAATAAAAAATTTAGAGTGACATTTGCCCACTATATTACTTGAATTGACATCTTAAAAGAAAGTGAAAAAACATTGTATAACATTCCGAAATCTAAAATAAAATTATCTTGAAACAAAAAATTTATCTCATATTTATTTTATCGCAAAAATTTATTATAAAACAACTTAAAAGAATTATAAAAATTGTAAAAGAATTGTAAAAGACTAAAATAGATAAAAGGTAATTTAATATTCTTGAAATTGAGTTCAAGTGTAATGAAAGATTAATTATCTGCGTATAATGACCTTGGGAGTGGTATAAGATGATCGGCAAAAGGCAACGTGGTCAATATGCTTTGAGATTTCATAAGAAATAATATAATAAAGAATTGCGATGATTAACGTGAGAGCAGAAGAGATTGGGCGTGACAACATGCTCCAATTCGGTAACCCAGACCTTGGTTCATTCTCCACCAAATGCTTTCTTTCACCTTTCTGTTGTCGGACCTCGTCTAAAAGACCGGTATTATTGCGAAACAACATTTTCGCTATAACCACAGACTAAATTTTGGTATAAAAACCGCATGGGGACCCTTTATTGTCACAACTACCCTAACCGCACAACTGAGAAGACAACCAAGCAAATAACGCAAAAATGTTCAAGGTATTTATAAATGTCTCAAGTTTCACTTACATATATTAAATTACATTTCCCTGCATTTTATATCATTTCAATATTTATAATTTTTAAGTTTTTCTAAGGATATCACAAGTTGATAGAAAAACTGTCATTTTTTTACATAATATTTCTTATTAAATTTGAAATTTTAATGATAGTTTCCTTATTAGTAGCTTAGCTTTGTTTATTTTTCCGAATAACAATTACGTAGTCTGACCAAAGAACAATAGTAACTACTGATGGGAAATTGGATGAGCGGTCTGACTATATCTTCCAATACTACTTATATTGTGTATCAGACATTACACTAGCTTTCGCGCTATCAAGAATTTTTTTATGATTAAAAATAATGAGTTTTACTAATATTGCAAGGAATTTTGCATTTGTTTAAACAATTAATTATTGCTAAGATTTATAACATTTCCAAATCAACCGAAAGATTAGAAAATTTCTATCAATATTTCCCCTTTTATTTATTCTTACTCTGTATCAATAAGTGAAGCTAAAAATAGGCGTAAGTAAAAAAATCAAATTAGTGAAAACAGTTAAAACTATTATTAAAAAATTTAACAAAACAAATGTAACAAAATTCGTTGCAAGAATTCAATTATTTTCATAAATAATAAAATTCTTCACAGGATTTCAATGATTTAAAAAAAATGTAATAAAAATTCATTGCAAGAATTCAGTTATTCTTCTAAATAATAAAATTATTCAAAGGATTTCTATTATTTTTAATGCAACTTTAAGTAAATTCTTCGAAAAATGTAATTATTTTCAAAAATTCTATTAAAATTCTTTGAAATAATTAAATTATCAATTATAAATTATTTTCAATATTTTTTGCAAAAGTTCCTTGAGAATTTTCAAATCTATTTGTTTACAATTTAATTTTACAAAATTTCGATTATTCGGAAATTCTTCAATTAAATATTTAGAAAATAAAAACTTGAAATAATTTTAAAAAAATTAATTATTATCTAAAATTTGAACTGAAATTCATTTTTAAATCAATTTTTATTAGAAAATTCTACGAGAATTCAATTATTTAAATACAAAAATAAATAATTTAATTATTTCGACAAATTTTAATGAAATTTTGAAGAATAATTACATTTTTCAAGGAGTTTGATTAAAATTGTATTAAAAATAATTTAAATTCTATAATGAGTTTTATTATTCATGGAAATAATTGAATCTCTGTAAAGAATTTTATTATTTATGAAAATAATTGAATTCTTTTGGAAAATTTTATTAAAGTAATAAATAATGAAAATCATTGAATTGAGGAAAATTTTTGAAAATAATTGTAATTTTGACAAGAATTTTATTAAAATTTTTTAAAACAATTGAATTTTTGAGAAGAATTTTATTACTTTTAAAGATAATTAAAATATTTTAACTAGAATTTTTAAAAATTTTTGAACATAATTGAATTTCTGCGAAGAATTTTATTATACTTTTGAAAATAATTAAATTTCTGCAATCATTTGTAACTTTTCAAAATTAAAAAAAAAAAAATTTTTCGGAAAAAAATTTCAACGGCCTTCAGGAACCTTTTTTATCGGAATTTATACAAATAGTTCGGTAAATTGCAAAATTAGGAAAAAAGTTTATCTTTCTAGGCACTCTGTACACGGAGAAAAATTTATTCGTACTGATTACAATAGTCTATATTACTGCTCGGATATGTGACCACTTTTTGTTATGATTACTATAGCTGTTGTAAGGAGTACAAACATGAATTTATCCCTTACAACAGCTATAGTAATCGTTCCTACTAAATTCTTAACACATTACATAGTCTTCGTAATCATTCCAAAAAGTGGTCACATATCCGAGCTGTAATGTAGACTATTGTAATCATTAAAAATAATTTTTCTCCGTGTATAAACAAAGTTGGTAAATAACATTATTATTTGCTTAATCAAATGAAAAATTTGATCATAACTTTATCAAAATATACTGTTTGTTGCCAAAAAGCAATTTTAGTGATAAACATTGAGAATTCCAATTTTTTGCAATTCGACTGTCGGTATTGTGACGTCTTATAAATATTGATGAAAAAAAGTCCTTTAAATAAATTTAAAATTATTGATGAAAGTTATGAATAAACAAAAAGACGAAATTTAGATTAGATTTCAAAAATAAATTAAAAAACTCTCTCCATTTATATTCGCCATCATTTTTCGTAAAAATATATACCGAAGAAAAATGGAGTTTACACATAAAAGTGAAGTATATGAAGTCCTAACCTCACTTTTATGTTTAATACCAAACTCAGCTCAGAGTTCATTACTTGATTAATGATTGGTTTTTTCATTTACATTTTACATTTATTTATAAATCTAAATACTGTAAAATAGTAAAACTAACCTTTCTTTGCAGTTCATTTCCTTCGCCGCTCTCGTAGCAGTCGCCAGGGCCGGATTCATTGGCTCTCCGGATTCATTTGCTGTCAATTACAATCCTTACAATGCAGCCGTTTCTGCCCCCCTTGCAATTCACGCCCCTGCCATTGGATCTTCTCAACAAAGCGTCGTCCGCTCCTTGGATGGAAACTCCGCAGTTTCCCACTACAGCAAAGCCGTTGACACTGCTTTCTCCAGTGTTCGCAAATACGACACCCGCGTGACCAATGACGCCAAATACCTCCAATACGCAGCTGCTCCTGCTCTTTACCACGCTCCGGCTCCAGCTGTCTACACGGCCGCAGCAGCTCCAGCTTCAACTTATTACGCAGCAGCCTCTCCAATCGTCAAAACTGTAGCTTCAGCTCCTGCCTACTACGCCGCACCCTCTCCAATTGTCAAGACTGTAGCTCCTGCCTACTACGCTGCATCCTCTCCAATTGTCAAGACCGTAGCTCCGGCTTACGCCCCAGCTTCAGCCTACTACGCAGCTCCCTCTCCAATTGTCAAGACTGTAGCTCCGGCTTACGCTCCAGTTGTTGCTCACACAACCTTCACTGGATTTGGCGCATCCTACGCCTTCTAAACTATTAAATTATTTATTTTGTCCTGACAATTAGCTCAAGTATTCTTCAATGAAAATGTAAATTAAAATTCTTGATTTACCTTTTAAAATTACCATGGATTTAAAATTCTACCGTCGTACATTGTTTTTACGTTTCATGATAGATGTCGTATATTTTAGTAATTTCGGAGTAATCTTCTTTTCCTATTTATTAAAGAGTCAAAAAAATCATGTTATTATAATTGTACCGTTAAATTACTTAATTTTATTTGCCATTGAAAATACGTGTACATTTCTAGAATAATTGAATTGTAACTATACTTACCATTCTTATTTATATTTTTGCCATCTCATCGAAATACATCTTTTTTAAACATATAAATTGAACCGATTATCATTATTACTCTTCCTCTGTCAAATCAAATCTGGATAAAAATAATGAAAAATAATCAAAACTGTGAAGCAATACGAAGAAAAGAGAGCAAAAACTTTTAGGTTATGCTTGTAAGTTTTGCAGTGAAAACAAGGTCTCAGTAAGCGCCGTTAACATTAATATGTCAAAACTAATTTTCTATCTACAAAATTAAAACTATTAAACAATTTTTGCAAAGATTTCGCATAAAAAACAGTTAAATGGAAAGTTTCGGAATTCCAAGTGAATGTAAAAAGTCATGTCAGTGACATTTTTATTACTAAAATCTCCAAAAACTAGTTTTTGACTCTGAGTGTCGACGCCAACTTCAGAGACCTTGAAATTGCACGAACTCTCAATACAAACGATGCAAACGATACCAACCGAAACCACTGATGTTTAAGTCTATAAATTAAAATATACCTGGTCATGGCCGAATATACACAGCGCAACGCCAGTATATAAGTGCCAATGTTACACGGAGAAAAATTATTTTTAATGATTACAATAGTCTACATTACAGCTCGGATATGTGACCACTTTTTGGAATGATTACGAAGACTATGTAATGTGTTAAGAATTTAGTAGGAACGATTACTATAGCTGTTGTAAGGGATAAATTCATGTTTGTACTCCTTACAACAGCTATCCCAGTAAAAAAAAACTAATTCAAATGAATTGAAACGAATTAACATTTTTGGTAGGCTCCAATTCGTATTTGTCACAAAGCGGGATTCACTCAAGCTCTTTGTATATTCAATTGAATTTAATTCAATATGTACCAATTTGTCCAAACGAATTCGCATTCGAAAGAAATGGCCAAGGAATGCATTGAATTCGTGCTAACGAATTGAAAAAAATTAAAGGCTCAAAACTTGTCCAGTGAATTGGTACGGATAGAAGGTTCGGAAGTTCAATACAGTTTCACGAATTCAGGAAAATTGCATCATGGCTCCAATTCGTATTTGTCACAAAGCGGGATTCACGAAAGCTCTTTGTGAATTCTTTTTAATTCATTTCAATTAGTTTTCGTTTACTGGGATAGTAATCATAACAAAAAGTGGTCACATATCCGAGCAGTAATATAGACTATTGTAATCAGTACGAATAAATTTTTCTCCGTGTAAACACTACTATACTACTACTTACAAATTAAATAATTAATAAAAATCTAAAAATTGTTTTGAGTTTTACACAGTTAAACACACTCTCTAAATCTGAATTAGTTAAAAATATCTAAAATCATGGCTGAATTTCAGCAATCAGTAAAAAATAACTATTTATTAGTAGAAAAATAAAAAATAGCCAAATTCCATTAAATTGAATAAATAAATGTTACCAAAAATTTCAGTTGTTCTGACATAACCTAAAAATAAATTTAATTATTATTATTATTATAGTCATTATTAACTATTTCATTAGTAAAATAATATTTTAACATTTTAACTAATTCAAATTTAGGGTACGGTCCCATGATGAGCAGAAAACACAATGCAAAGCAGAATTTCGTGAGAGTGGAAAGGGTAGTGATATCTGACTTTCTCTTTTGCACTCACGAAATTCTGCTTTGCATTCTGTTTTCTGCTCATCATGGAACCGTACCCTTAGAGACGAAACTTAGCAGAAAAATGATTTGCTTCTCAGGTACATACCTTTCTTCGGAGCGTGTCACTTTTTTTTTAGAATTTAGAAAGAAACCTCACTCTCTAAATCTGAATTTGTAGAAAGTTCCTAATGAATTAACAAAAAGTGGTCCACCAAATGATTTAGTAATAATTTTACTAAGAAATAGTGAAATTTCACTAATTGCTAGTAGAGCTTTACTAATTACAGTCTTACAGTAGAATTTTACTAACAATAGTAGAACGTTTTTAGAAAGTATAACTTTCAATTAGTGAAATTCTACAAAAACATTAGTAATATTCTACTAATTGAAAAGGGGAAAAGTCCATAAAAACTACTAATAATAATTAAATCTTTACTATTTGTTAGTAGAATTCTACTATAATTCAGATTTAGAGCGCAGAGTCAATAACAATAAACTGATACAAAAAAATTACTATAAAAATATTTTATTTCTCTTAAAGACAATATTATTGGATTTTTGGAAAGATAAAAAATCAAAATTTCATAATAAATTACAATTCAAAATGCAATTTAAAATAATCAAGACAATTTTATTAAATTGATATTATTACTGAATTTGTAAAGACAATGTGTTGTTTTCACACAATGCTGCGATGAAAAGTATTAATAAATTGTTTAAATTACAATATTCTCAAAGTATTTTCCATCACTTAATCTAAATAAATTCGAGTTAACAAATATTTATATGTAGTGAATTACTCGAAAAGAAACCAGGTACAATTTTTTTTTATCGTCTATCAACAACGTTTTTCATTATTCTTGAAAGAGAAAGGTGCTCAGTTGCTAACATGACGTAATAAACTAAAAAAATTATTTAAAAACGTATTCAATGTATGTAGGTAGTTTTCCGGATAAAATTCGTTTAAAAAAAAGAAATTTTAATCACTTTCAAACAGTAATGGACCATATTCGTTGTTTTCATCTCTTAATCATACGATGTTTTTAAAAAATCATTTAATAAATAAATAATAATTAATCTACTTTTTCAAGAGTTTTTACAAAGGTTTTTTGTGGGTATAAATTATCAACTATCTACGGCTTAAAATTTATTTCAATATGAGACTTAAATGAAATATTTAAAATCGACTATGTATTTAGATTTTTAGAAAGTAAATCGAAATTTCACTACATTTTTAAAAAATGTGAAAATAAAATGATGTGCGAACAGCGAAATTGAAAAGCATCAGATGATACTGAATTGTCTTATAGTTGTTAGAGAATTAAATTCTATTTAAAATCAAAAAAGGATCATATCAGATCTTTAAAAAAATGAAATAAAAATTAAGAGCCACACTTTGGAAAAATGGGAAAAATTTGATAATATAATTCACATGGAAGTTGGAGACCAAAAGTTCATTTCTCGAAGTTCTGAAGGTTTAGCTTGAAAAACACTTGCTACAGATTGTTTTTCAGGCGATTTTTCGTCTTTGCCGACGTAAGTTAAATTTTGCGATGAAATAGATTTCTTACGGCTTAAAACTCTTCCCGGCATATTCTCGTGGCTGATTTCCTCCTCTTCATCAATCTTTGAAGTTACAATTTCACGTGGCTGTCCCAAAATGCCAGCTAAAATCCAACTGCCCTGATATTTCTCCCTGTCGGGGACGAAAGCGCCGGTGAAGAATCTATTGCCGTGAGTCCTTCTGCGAGACTTTGGTGAACTGTCGGGTGTCGACATGGGCGAGGCAAGTGGCGTCGCCGGCAGGGATTTGCTCCCTTTTGGGAAAGGATTGTCGGCATTTTCGGTGCGAAAATCTGAAGTGGAATTGGTTTTGTTTAATTTACTGGACATCATTTGGTTTGCTACGTGGACAATCGACTTGCCACAGAGGGCTGGTGTTCCATGAAAACCATCGTCCGTACCCTGCGATTTTGGCTTGATATTATTAGCCAATACAGTTTTTGGAATTTTGTACGTTTGTCCTGAAATAAGGTTTCGTCAATTAATTTTCAATTTTCAATTTTCAATTACAATTACAATTTCAATTTGTTTTCTTATTTTAATTTTTACATGGTTGCCACACTTTACTCTTTTCAAATTCCCTGACTTTTCCATGTTTTTCAGGTTTTTCACACGGAGAGACCCACATTCGTAAAAATTACTAAAAACGGTTGCAATGACCGGAAATAAGGGGACTTTTAGCATAATGTACTACAGAATTAGATAAATTTACAAAAGAAATAGATAAATTTGCTACATTGAAATAGCAAGTTTTAATATTTTGTGTAAGAGTTGTAAATGTAGCGAAAATTGATTATAGTTTTCTCTAATTTAATTAGACAAAATCTGACAAATGAAAACATTTTCCACTAAAATCTTCTATCCACTGTAGTAATTTTTGGTGAGCAAGTGTGGCTAGCGAGTGCAGTCATATGGCGCCTGTATTTCTATTGGTTGCTAACCTCGTCAATCTCCGTAAATGAGCCGATGCCTTCCGATCATTGACAGTGACTATGTTTCGCGTATGTAAAATAAATTTGGATATTATCTACAATAATTAAATATAAAGTGAAACGTAGGTCGTTCGGTATCTCAGAAATTGACCATTATAAATTAATAAATTTTGCATTTATTCCTGTCCCAAGAAGTATGTCTTATAATAAGTTGTTAAAAGTAAACTGCTTTCTCGTAAGTGCTGTAAATTTTCATCATTCAATATATAAGGAAACAAAGATGTATACTTTCAGTGAAATTCGTTGTCGTGCGTGCAGTTGTGTATTAGTGTATTAATTAACCGCGTCTATACATATAAGTGAAATAAACATGTGTGTGTCTTCAAATATTTATCCAACAACAAATATATAAGTGTGTGAGTGTGTGTGTCTGTGTATGTAAAAATCCTTCCAGTTTACCTCCACTAGTCAAGAATTGACGGGAAACCGGCGACAAAAATCCGTATTTTTTCTTTTCACTCTTTCTTTCTGCATTTACAACGACTATAGTAATTTTACGTACACAATGTTTCTGAGTTTTACTACAGTTGTTTGGAACTATTGGACGAAATAATAAGAAACTTTGCTAATTTGGTGAACATTTGTCGGGATTAGTGACTTAGTGTAGAAAATAGTAAAAAATACAAAAAGTCCCCTTATTTCCGGTGGTTGCAATGTGAATATAGTAAATTCTAGTGTGATTTTATACAAAAATTAGTAATCTCGGTCTCTCCGTGCAGGTTAAAAAACGGGATTTTTCCAGATTCTTAAAACAAAAATTATTCAAAAATATAAATAATTTCATTTTTAAATAAATATTTAATCATTATCATTTTTTCATACAAATTAAGATTTTCAAAAATTTTAAATTCAATAAAATATAAGAATATTATTATAAAACATGAAGATATCCATCACTCCGAGTCGAAAACTCGGAGTTATCGCAAAAATTATTTTCATCATTACGATTATTCATTTCTAGAATTATCAACTAAAATTCTTCAATTTATTTAAAATAATTTTTGAAAAAGTTCTTTGTAAATTTCCAAGTTATTTTGTTTACAATTTAATTTTACGAAATTTCGATTATTCTGACATTCTTTAATTAAATATTGTAGAAATTAAAAACTTTAAATAATTAAAAGAAATTCCATTCAACTTTTTGAAAAAAAATAATTCTACAGAATTCTTAATTAAAAGTATGAAAAGTTGAAATTTTCAAAGATTTTAATTAGAAACCTTTTGAAAATTCAATTATTTCTAAAAAATCCACGCTCTATAATGCTTTTCATATTCAATTTAAATCTAAAATTTAACTGAAATTCATTTTTAAATAAATATTTATTAGAAAATTCTACGAGAATTCAATTATTAAAATAGAAAAATAAATATTTTTATTAAATAATTGAATGTTATAAAATTGAATTTTCATAAAGAATTTTATCAACAAATTTTTACAAATTTTTTAAGAATAATTTAATTTTTTGATAAATTTAATGAAAATTTCATTAAAAATAATTAAAAATAATTTCGAAGAATTTTTATTATTTATAAAAATAATTTAAATTTTGACGAGAATTTTTGTAAATCTTTTAACATAATTGGATTTTTGCGAAAAAATATATTAATTTTGAAAATGATTAAATTCTTTATTTAAGAATAATTACATTTTTCGAGAAATTCGATTAAAAATAATTGAAAGTCTGCGATGAGTTTTATTATGTATTTATGAAAATAATTGAATCCCTGTAAAAAATGTTATTATTTATGATAATAAAAATAATTGAATAATAATTTATGAAAATAATTTGTAAATATTGTTTGAATTCCTGTGAAATTTTTATTATTTATGAAAATAATTAAATGTTTGCGTAGAATTTTATAAAAAAAATTTTTTAACTAATTGAATTTATTTAGGGATTTTTATTAAAGTAGTAGATATTAAAAATCATTGAATTGAGTTATTATTTTTGAAAATAATTAAAATTTTGCCAAGAATTTTATTAAAATTTTTAAAAATAATTGAATTTCTGAGAAGAATTTAACTACTTTTGAAAGTAATTGAATTTCTGCAATCATTTGTAATTGCTTCAAAATTCAATTTGTTTTAGTGTTTTTAACTAAAATTCTTCTATTACACTGGAATCTAGATCGGTGAGCTCGGGATCGTTGAGACTCTGTTTACATAGTTTGTTGGCGAGGAAAGGTGGAGGGCTAGCGGGGACTTTCAAATGTCGATCAATGTCGTGCCTAATTGTAGAAGAAAAAGGTTCTCAGTGCCCGATGCTATTTATTTCATTTGATAACTTCATCATTATTTACTTTTTTTTCTTTTTAATATAAATACATTTTATGTTTGTATAATATTTTGTAATATTTTGTTATTTATATTAATTTTCTAACATGAATTATTTTCTGAAAGAATGGTGCAAACAAAAAATACTTCGTACGGCCCTGTTTGTGTTGCTTCTCAGTCTCAACTAATCCGCTAGATCGGTGAGAAGCCATCCCCGATTAGTCTCACCGATCTAGATTCCAGTGTAATCCATTATTTTTAATACTTAATCAATTAAATATATATTTATTAAAAAACTTAACTATTTTCAGAAGAATTTTAGTTATTAAAATTTTTTAAAAATCTAGGTTTTTTTTAAATTTCTTATTAAATTCTTTTAAAATTGAAATTTTACAAAATTTCAAATCAAAATCTTTTGAAGTTCATCTACTTATGGAAATTGTAAACGCAATTTATTTTGAAATATTTAAGTAAAATTAGATTTCAAGAATAAACACAATAAACAATTTCCTAGGATTTTGATTAAAATTCCCTGACATTTCCAGGTTTCCAGGTTGCGTGGCAAACCTGTTTTATTCAGTTGGTGAGTATCAAAAGTTTGAAAATTGAGAGTGAATTTACCTTTGTTTGATGCACTTGGGACGAATGGCTGGCAAGGTTCCGGATGTTTACTAAAATCGATTTGTTTAACGTCTTTGAAATTTGGTGCACTTGTCTGAACAGAGGGCACTTTGCTGGTTTCTTGGTTTGAGTTAATTACATTGGAGATATTTGTGAATCCAGAGGCATTTTCAGTCACCGGGTTTTTGGATAGTCGAATAAAAAAGAAGTTATCGTCATGCGAAGGTGGACTGAAAGCACTGTCATCGAAATCGTATCTGAAAATAAAAGAGTCGTGAGTTAAACTTATAATTTTTTATTCTTCATGCTAAAATTGTTTACACTGAAAAAAATTAACGCCTAACACAAAATTAAATACGTAGTGGAAACATAAATCCAAACAATAGAAATTTCAAGTGATGATAAAAATAATTCACAAAAATAAATTCGTAATCTTACCTTTTTCTATTTCAAAAATTAATAAATTAAATCATTTGCTTCAAAAGTTTCTAAACTGAATTGTAAATTAATAAAGTTCTTAACTGAGAAAATGATTAGTGAACTTTGAGAGAAACCAATTTCCAGATAACGTATTTTTGCCTCTATTTCGAGATGAACTTGATTAGGAAAAAAATTGACTCATGTCAGTATCGTATCGCTGTTGTCAGCATTAAGTCACGTTCGTCTACTTTATGTCGAGCAATGTCCTAGATTAATTGGCAAAGGTTCCGCAAATGAAATTCGTACGTTAAATTAACATAAAAAGTTGTGGGATAATTTTCCACGTAAACGTAAAGGCAATAAAAGTCTTTTTCCCTGACGTCATCTATCCGCATTCTAAAATATATTCTTGTAAATAAAAAAAAACCTTCGAATAAACAAGATAATAATTCTTCAAAGTTATTTTATTCACTGGAATAGGAAAAAAATTGATAGTATGTAGTTTCAAAGACAATTTTTTAAACACAAATTTTTTTTGTTAATCAAAAGGAGAACAAACGATAATTCGAAAAAAAATTATCTGTTAAAATTGTTGAGTTAAAACAAGAAAGTGATTCAGTTTATCGTACCTATAAATATTTTTATCGAAATAGGTAAAAGTTAAAAAAAACTCTTTTCTTTCGTCTTTAGAGATGGTTAATATGACGTTAAACTATATTATAAATTTTCTCTCTCGTTCAGATGCGCGACTATCTAAAAATACGAGATCTCGTGACTGCTAAACAGGCCAAGTCATCGATGCACGCCTTCTTGGAGCTACAATGACGCTGACACGCGCAATATAACGCCTAAATGAACTGTGTTCGTCTCTCCAATTTTTTTATTTTTTTTTTACATTAAAACAATAAAAGAACTCTATTTAAGAAAAATATAGTCTACCAGTCACTCATTAATCAATTAGTCACTTTAATAAATAAAATTACTATTTTATATTATTGCAAAAAACAAGAAATGTAAGCTCTTTATCTTCCTCGTTAAAGAATCTGTTGATAAGAGTAATAGATTCACTTCTTGGAAATTCATCACTGACCAAATATTCAACAAGAATGTAAAAATTATGAGTATACAGTTTGTTATTGTTTTGCTTCACAAATTATTTAATTTGGAATTATTTGCGCAATTCAGATCTTGACACGAAGTAACCTTCGCGATAAATTCTAACAGATGTGAGCCTTAAAATGTAAACATATAATTATACTGGGAAAATAATATATCTATCACATTGGAATATTGAATTAATTAACATTATTAAAGAAATAGCTTAAAAACGAGAAAAAAGAAAAAGAAAAAATATACTAATTAAAAAAACAAGACAAATGTCAAGCTGCTGACAAAAATTAGTCATAATAAAACGGAGTGAAACTAAGAGAACATGTTTTATGTAACAATATGTGCATGTATTTCATGTATACTGTATGTATTATTTTTATCACGTGAACTTCAGATTTTTCCGCTTTTAAAATGAGATACGAAGATGAATAAAAAAGTAAATGATCAAACCAGACTTGAAAAAACTATGAAAAAATTCACTTCTTTTTAGAATTAATATTAATTTAGTTGTGGATTTTTTACGGATAACTTTATGAAAAACCAAATACAATTTTGACATTGTCCTACATTTTTTAACTCTCATTCTTATTATTTGTCCGAATAAAAAATATAATTGAAGTGAATATTTCTTTCTTGTGTCGAAACGTATAATTATAATATCGGTTCATTAACCGTCAATATTAATATTCATATCAATAATAATTCCCAAGTTTTTATCATTCAAATGAACGAAAAATTTTTGTTTAAAAATATTTTCATCATAAATTTAAAAAAGTAAAAAAAATTGTTAAAAATAAACATAATAAAAATTAAAAACCTTTATTCTAAATAATAAAGAAAATAATTCATTTAGAAAACGTTGATGAATTTTGCAACGTTTATAATCAACGATTTAGAAGAAAAGTAATTTTTTATTTAAATTTTTGTGTTAAAACAGTTTTTACAATGTTTCTTGAATTGATCTTACGTTGTAAATAAATAAATAAATAAATAAATAAATAAATAAGTAAAAAAGGAAAAATTTTTAAACGTAAAATTTATTTTATAATTAAAAAATGATTTCTTTTTCTAATCGTTGATTATTATAGACGTTGTGAATGTCACCGACGTTTTAGAAACGTAAAAATTAATTTCTTTGACACGTAATGAAAAATTATTGTAATAAAATTTTGATTTGAAGAAGAAATACATAAATTTTGTTCAATGAAGCGTTGATAACTTTAAGAATATTAGGTATTAATATGTAAATTAATAAATACAAACAATTCAACGACATTCAAAATTAATATCCCAGATAATATTAAACTGTAAAGCGAAAAAATCAGAAATTGTTATGAGTATATTTTAACTGCAACTTATAATTCCCATGACGTAGAAAATGAAAATGACTCACTCTATAAATGGCGTTTAAAATCTTGGAACAAATTTTAAAAAAACGATTAAAAAATACATAACAAACTTACTTATTGTCGAATTTGCCTTTCATCCATTGAGGTAGAGAAATTCCTCCGCCTAAAGATTTATCCTGCGGTCTCGCAGATCCCATCGTTTTTTTTACCACAAAAAATCAATTAATTTTATCGGCTAAGATGAATTATTCTTTTCCTTGAGAAATTTCACTTTCTATCAGCGCAAGATTGAGCAATTTTTTTCTTTGATGTTGATTGTTGTTTGGGCCAAAATTTTTATTCTTAGATGAGAAATAAAACTGTAATAAATAATAAAATTTGTGTTCTATTTGTGTGATTCGATCGAAAAGTTTCCTCCTGAAAGCTTGTGGGTCCTTGCGTGCCTTCTAGGAGTTTGACTTCAACACCATTCTACTGACCTGCAAAGACAAACATTTTCTCATTTATATTAACTGTGTGGAATAATTCAAATCAATTATGTCTACTCCAGACTGTTGGGATTTTTTTTTTCGCTACTTTATCAACGGAAAAATACACAAATTTTAAATTTGTTATTACAACAACTAAGGCGAGTTAGATTTTATAAAACTTTAAATCAAAGCCTTATTAGATATTCAACATTTTTACATTGTTTCACGTTACTGCCCTATATATATGGAGCTTTTCCACAGTAAAAACTTTGTAGTTCAATGGCCGGTAATCATGCGAAACCTTAAAGTTTGCATGTTGCAAGTTATTATTGCATATGTTCGGAATAAAACTGCAGAATATAATCCAATTTTTCAAAAATAATGAATAAAATTTTAAAAGGTATTTAAAAAATTGGATTTAAAAAATTGGATTTAAAAAATTTTGTGCTAATTCGGTACTCTGTAGATTTTACCAATAGTTTTAAAATTTGTGAGTGTAATTATACTATAATTAATAAATTATGTAAATTGGTAAAATAAAAAAATTTTTAAGTTCCTTGATGAAAATTACACAAAAACAATTTTAAAAAAGTTTGTTTAATTTTTGTTCAGTTCTACGAACTAGGAGGCTGACCTTGTACGTGGAATAACACAAAAGAATTCACACATGGAAACGAAAGAATAAAAAAAGTGTCTGATTATCTGCATGACGTATAGATCAATACTAACGTTATTAAAACACATGACGTAAGTTCAGATTACTATACACTCCCTCAAAATACTGACATTTAACTGGAGGTTCATTTTATCAGATACAAATTTTTGTAGTCAAACAACAATCTTCGTGTTTTTGTCTACGACTGATAAACTTACTCGCAGTTTTGTTCTTTACAAAGTAAATTTCCATTTGTTACCAAAAAAAAGAAAAATTATTAGAAAATTACTTTTTGTTAGATAAAATTCAAACAATTGAATGGAACGTAAAAATGTAAATTTATGCAACAATACAAGGGACCGGAAGATAATAATAATAATATAAGCAATATTCGTTAATTAACGAATGTTTATAACTTATAAACATGTTTTTCATTTTAAATACAATGATTTTTATTTTTATTTACTTCATTTACAAAGTAGAAAAAATAGACTTCGTGCAATTTATCTAAACAGTTCAACTTGATACGAGTCTATTTACTTTATTTAACATCATAGCAATAGAAAAAACAGACCAAGAAAAAATACATATCAGTTTATCATTATTTTAAATTTAGACTTGAATCAATTTTTAAATAAATGTTAAGTAAATACATATTGGAAACGTTTGCTCTTTGAATTTGAAAATTAACACATTTACTTCCAACAACCATAGTATAAATAGATTTTTCTGGCATAAATTTATAGTACCCAATTCACTTAAACTATAATTGTTGCATAATAATTTACAAGCGCAGAAACAACGGTTATTAATATTAGGAAAGTGAAAGTTCATGGTCGATGTTGTTCCATTTAAAACGTTTAAAATTTAGAAAATTTACGACATTATGAGTTCACTAAGAAGCAAAGGTATTTCCAGTAAGTTAACACTATTGACAAGTTGTTTGCAAAAGTTTTATGAAATTAGTAAAATTTTAAGGTTTTTTTAATACTTGTTTCGACATAAAAACAATTTGGTTAGTTGGTTGGAAGAATCGAGAAAACATTTAATGTTGACATTACTGGAGTGTAAAAGAAATAAAGATTACTCCATTTTAGAGAAAAGAAATCGATTTCTATTGTTTTATTTTAAAAACACACTTACTTTATTTTTTCGACACATTGTTGATTGTTCTAAAATTGATCCCATAACTTGACAAAAAACAAAAGTTTTTAACAACACAGCTGTGAATGACACAACTGTCGATTAGCACAAATGCACACAAATGCAGTAAAAGCCAAATTGACAATGACAAAGCGCGACTGCAGAGACTCTTGCGTTCGTTTTGTGAAAGAAAATATGGAATTTAATTAAAATAGCAGTTTTCAATATTATTTTTCAAGTATAAAGTTTTAATTTCCAATTTTTCATCTTAAAAATATACATGAATTGAAAGTAATAATACATGAATAAAAGTAAAAATATTTGTTTGTAAATAATTATTTTTTTGTTCAATGCATTCAATGCCAATTTGAATTTCCCTCTGAAAAATAATGGACGTCAGAGGGCGCTGGACTTTAAAAATGGCCGACCGACAATTATTATTCTTATTATTATTCGAGTTCTGGCCTTCGGAAGTAAACACGTGCACGTGCGGATATATCTGCTTTTTTAATTACACTTTATTATTTAAATAATGACAAAAGTCCGAAAAGTAAAAAAGAGGAAGAGATTTCAGGCGAATGTAAATCGAAAGAGACTTAGGAATAAGTTAAATAAACTTCCAACAATAAAATGGTATGTAAATAAAACATTGCAAATTTTGTATAATATTACACTGTAAAAAAAATTTCTTGTATTTTTACTACTCTGAAGTGGGTCCGAATATTACCTACATTCCGAGTAGCGATTTTACTAAGTGTCTATACGTCCGGCTAGTCGGACGAAATATTTCGTCTAAACGTCCGGATATACGGACATATAGCTCCCAAAATATTTCATCCGGCTATTTACTATATGTACTGGTGATGAGCGTTTGACAGTATCCGGATAAAATAATGAACTTTATAATTCGTCCGTCTATTAGATTTTTACAAGTATAACATATTCCTTGAATGTTTTTGACATTTTTAGGTTATGAATTTTAAAATTAATTTGATAACTAAATGCGAAAACATAATATGCATAATAATAGTAATAACAATTATAATTATTGTCATTCTATAATTATTATATTAATTTTTTGCTTTTTTATAAATATTTACAAAAAATATTTTATAATATATATTTTTTTTAGATAAATAAACATCAAAAAATATTCTATGCAGAGTTTACAAGCACATATTTGTTAAATAAATAATGTAAATAGAAGACTAACATTTATTTATGTATATATCTTTTTTTATTTATTTATTTAAAAAATGTCTATAAATTAAGAATACAATATTTTTTGAAGATTGTAAGTCTTAAAAAAATTATTGTTCACAAAAATATTTTGGGACGCCTGTATATTTTCGAAATTTAAAAAGTTCTAATCGTAGTTTTATCCATTTAAAAAGTTTTAAATGTTAATAAAGTGAGTTTATCATAGAATTTATTTTTCAGCAAATAAGCAAATTATCCGATTCGCATTTACTAAATAATATAATTTATTTAAGGGTAACACCATTCTAGAGCCAGAAAAAGAGACCTATATTTTTGATGGTTTATTTTGAGAAAATGAAAAATAGAATTGGATTTCTTTTTGGAGAATTTATTAATTATACATATTGAAGTGTGGAAATTTTTTTTTAAATTATATAACAAAATGGCGGCGATAAATTTCATATTCAAAATCGACTATTTTTTATGGCCGAAAAGGTTTCTTGAAAAGTTTAAGTCCTGGAACAAAAAGTAAAGAAATTTTACAAACTAAATACTATAAACTTTGGAACTACATACAGATTTTTTAATTTGATGTAAACTTTATTTTTTTAAACAATTTACTTTTTATTACTCTTAGGCAAAAAATCGATTATTGTACTCAAAAAGTGCACGATTTTTACAAAAATTGATATATAAAAAACCCTTATGCACTTCCAAAGTTTACATGGAGAAAAATATAAAGTAACTTTTACTACTTTCATAGTAAAAAATTTACCGGAAATTTTTTACTATAAAAGTAGTAAAAGTTATTTTATATTTTTCTCCGTGTATATTATATACATCATGAAATTTCTTTGTTTTCTGTTCCAGGACTTAAACTTTTCAAAAAATCTTTCCGGACGTTTTGTTAAAAAAAAGATTAGTCGATTGTTACTATAAAATTTATCGTCGCCATTTTGTTATAAAATTTAAAATAAAAATTTTTTTCTACACTTCAATATGTATTTAACAAACCCTCCAAAAAGATAACCTATTCCTTTTTTCATTTTCCCAAAACAAATCATCAAAAATTGGTCTTCTTTTCTGCCTCTAGAGTGGTGTTAACCCTTGAATAAAATAATTTTTTTGAAGAAGAGTAATAGTTCTATATAAATGTTACAGTTACTATAAAAGTTTAACCAAAATCATAATGTTGAATAATTTGAAACCCGTGTAATCCTGAAGAAGATGAAAATTCAACTGGTAAAATTGTTATATATATTCTATATTACCTAGTTGTCATTAATTCAAATGCTGAATTTTTCAAAAGGTAAGTTATTAAAATATTTATGATATGCAAAATTTTATTTTCTCAAACCTTTATGAACTCAAATGTCCATAAAATATATTTTTTAATATTATTTTATAAATGTCATTTGATAGAATGTTTACTGTAGCAAATGTTAATTGCAAATATTGTTTTTATACTCGAATAACCAATTTTACAATGTTAAAGAATTGACTATTCTTCATTATAAAATATTATAGTCAATTATTGTAATAATAATTGGTAGTCAATTTTTTTAGATTAAAATTCCATTTGGATTTTTTAACATTGTAAAAGTGGTAATTCGAGTATAAAAACATTATTTGCAATTAACATTTGTTACAGTAAACATTATGTCATATGACATTTTTATAAACATTAAAAAATATATTTTATGGTAATTTGAGTTAATAATGGTTCGAGAAAATAAAGTTTTGCATAACATAAATATTTTAATAAGTTACCTTTTGAAAAATTCAGCATTTGAATAAATGGCAACTAGATAATATAAAATATATAACAATTTTACCAGTTGAATTATTATTTATATTATATTAATATACTATAATTACTATTACTATAATTATATAATTATAGTAACTGTAAAATTTATATAGAACTATTAATCTTCTTCAAAAAAATTATTTTATTTAAATAAATTATATTTTATTACATATAGACTTAACATATTAATGGCAGAAGTCATTTAAAAAAGTCCAAGAGGATTCAAGGCGGGGAAAGAAGTGGTTTTCATTTTTTTGTCACGAATTTTCCAAAATAACCCCGAATTTCAAGTAAATTGCTAATTCCTCACTTTGGAAGCAATTTTTTATAGTTATTTATTTTAATATCAGTGGCCATTTAAAAAAATTCCTAAGCGGTTCCAAATCGGGGAAAGAAGTGATTTTGAATTTTTTGTGGCACGGATTTTCCAAAAATCTCTGATCTTCTGATAATAATTTATTTTAATGTCAGAAGCCATTTAAAAAAAATCCAAAAGGATCCAAGTCGGGAAAAGTAGTGATTTTTGTTTTTTAATTGTAATTCCGGGATTTTTGGAAAATCTACGACAAAAAATACAAAATCACTGCTTTTCCCGCCTTAGATCCTCTTAAAATCTTTTTTAAATGGCTTCTGATATTAAAATAAATAATTATCAAAAGAAAAAAATTGCTTCCAAGTCAAGAAAATTAATTAAACTAAATAATTAAAATAAATTAACAACTTACTTGAAATTTCAGAATTTTTGGAAAATCTGTGACAAAAAAAATTCAAATTCACTGCATTCCCTGCTTTATATCCTTTTGAAATATTTTCTAAATGGTTTCTGACATTAAAATAGATAATCGTCAAAAGAAAAAAATTGCTTTCAAGGCAGAGAAACATTTTTTCGTTGAATCAACATTGTTAACTTCAGTTTCATTTTTACTATATACAAATAAAATTCCTTTCATTAATTTATCGGGACGTTTTAGACTCTAAATATTTTATCCGGCTGACCGGCTTCAGTTATTATTTTACTAGCCGGACGTTTAGACTCAGCTGTGTTATGCAGCAAAACGTCCGGCTAGACAGTATCCGGACGAATTTATTACGTCCGGCTATCAGTACCCGGACAAATTTTTTTATCCGGCTAGTCGGACGTATAGACGCAGTGTTTACTAAATTCCAAGTAACAACTATACTGGTTATGTTTGTTTTCTTACAACTATCTGTAAAATTACAACCGCGGTTGTAATCTTGCCACACTGAATTTAGGTAATATTCAGACCCTCTTTCAGAGTAGTAAAAGTAAAAAAATTCGTAAAATTGTTGCTTTAAAAGTATTACGTTTACAGTAGGCGTTGCAAATTCGCTACATTTAAAGGTACCATTCTACAATTTTCTGTAAAATTACAAATCGCAACTGTGAATGAGCAAGAAAAATTTTTTACAGTGATTTTATTATTATTGTATTGAGGTTAGATTTAAATACTTCACTGTAAAAAAAAATTTCTGTAGATTTACAGTTTTGTTTAGAATTTTATAAAAACTTGTATAAAATAACTTCTTTAAAAGTTGTGAATTTAAAATTCCTTCTGTAAAATTAATACTTTTAATGTGCCAATTTTACAATTTTCTGTAAATTTACTACTCTGAAAGTAGGTAATAAAAAGACAAAAATATTACCTACTTTCAGAGTAGTAAATTTACAGAAAATTGTAAAATTGACACATTAAAAGTATTAATTTTACAGAAGGGATTTTAAATTCACTAATTTTAAAGAAGTTATTTTACAAGTTTCTATAAAATTCTAAACAAAACTGTAAATCTACAGAAAATTTTTTTTACAGTGTTGATTAAATCCCCACCTTTTTTTCTGAAGGAAAATGTTTTATTTTTTAAACTTTGGAATTTTTGCAGTAAACAAATCAAAGATGCTTGGGAGGTTAAAAGGTCGATTAAAGGAAATTTAAAAGAAATGGGTTTGGCAGCCGATCCTAATGAAATTTTTAAAATACCGAATTCGAAGAAACAAGCACTGGAGAATGTTAGTAACGTTAAAGCAACTGAAAAATTTCTAGAAGAAAATGTTATTGTAAAACCTCCGTCAAAGGTTTATGTTGCTGAAAGTTTGGAGAAAGAAGCTAAAACTCCAAGAGAAAGATTGTTTAAATTACCTAAGAATCAAGTACAATTTGTAACTTACATGATGGATAAATATGGAGAAGATTATAAGGTATAAACATTTATTTTTTCACTTTTTGCATTTATAAAAAATTACATTTGATAGTTAAGATCCAAACGAAAAAAAATAAATAAAAAACATTACTCAGATATAATGCAACAATAATACACAAAAATATATAAAAAAGAAAATTTTTATTTACGTTTTAACCAAAAATTGTTGTTTATTTCTTAAAAATAATATTGAAATACTTTAAATAAGTTTTTTTCGTTGATAAACTTTGTGAATTTCAACATTGTTATTTGATTGATATTTTTACATCAACTATAATAAAAAATCTTTAAAGTTTTCTAATTCTAATAAAGAAATTCTCGAAGAAAAGTTTCTTAATTACTATTATATTTTTAGGCAATGACCAGAGATAAAAAGAACTATTATCAGCTGACGTGGAAACAAATACGTGCGAAAATAAACTCATTTAAAAACATTCCCGAACAATATGCTGAGTATTTGGTGGAAAAAGGAGAAATAATTTTAGACGATCCAACCACATTGGCTGAGACAAAAAAACAACAAGCTTTAGCCAATTTTCAAGAACATTGTATTTCAAAGAAACCCAAAAGAGAAATAAAAATTTCATCTGGATGGGAGGAGGAATCAATTAATTCCACTGAGGATCCAGGTGAAACTGTTTCCGATAATGATGATGAAACTCAGGAAAAATTAAATCTTTTCGTAGATGAAGAAAGTGACTCTGAAGAATTAAAAGTCAAGAAAAAAGGAACTGTCAATGAAGCTTCAAATGGAATTCTTGAATTTAAATCCGTTAAAAATTCTAAAATTGATTTGAATAATTCTCCGAAAGAAAAAATAACCAAAAAGAGAATAGCAGAAGAGGAAAAGGTGGTTTCTAAGAAATCGAAAATTTTAGAAAAATCAGTTTCTAGTGATAGCGAAGGAGAAGACGAATTCGAAGGAGATGAAAGTAATGCTGAATTTATTAATTTAAGTGATTTGAGCAGTGAAGAATTGTCTGACGACGATGTTTTAGATGATGGAGAATTTGTCACCGATTCCGATGACGAAAGCGACTAAAATTGTAAAAAAGCATTTTTATTTCTGATTGTCTTATGTTGTGGGAAAATCATAGATTATGATTATTTGTTGTAGCATAAAAGTACCTCAGGTTAAAATAATAAATATTGTTTTGTATAATATACATCGTGGAAAGTTTATTCTTTTCCTAAATATGTATTTACATTGATTTAACAATTTTCATAGAATAGTGTGCACAAAGATATCACAGAAATCAAATGAATCCTATATATATATATATATATACTTTAATTATCATCTATATATATTTTTTTCTATCAAGATTTTCATTTTCGAAAAATGGTTTGTTTTTAAACTTTTTTCATTTTCGTTCGTGAAATGTTAAACTTATTAAATATTTTTTTTGTAAGGAATTAGAAAGTAATAAAGCTAAAAAAAATTTGGAAACAAAAACTTTTATCTTGTACTTTTATCAAGTGTTAGGAACATCGATGTTAGAAGTTGAGTTTTAAATTATTTAACAAATGACTACTTATACATGATGAGACGAAAATATTATCAAAGATTTAACGATTAATAAAAAAATAAAGTGCTTAACGCACATGTAGATTCTAGGTATTTTTTCATTTTTAAACTATATATAATATAGAAAAGTTATTTTAAGAGTTCGCCATGACGAAGATTTTTTTCTGTACCACATCAACGGAAGGGTGATGGTAAGTATATTCCTTTGTACCTCGTGGAAGATTAGAAGGTAAGGGACGAGTTTGACAACCAATCACTTCGACTTTGTGTTTAGAAGGAGAGATGCTAATGAGATCTAACGCTTCTGCTATTTCCTCTGGCCTCAGTGCATTTGAAACATCCTGGAGGAATATACAAATATTAAAATTGAAATAACAGTTCTTAAATTTGAATTTCTAAAACAGAAATTATTCAGTAGTTACCTGTTTGTTAGCGACTACCAAAATAGGAACATTGTCGATTCTCGAGTCTCCTAATAATTGTTTAAATGTCGATACGGCGATGGACAATTTGTGTAAATCTGAAGAAGCATCAACCATAAACACTAAAAGATCAGTGTCTTGTAGGAAATTATTCCAATACTGTTTCGTGTCTTCCGCTCCTCCGACTAAAAACAAATCAAGAGTATAATTAAAAGATAAATAATTTAAAAAGCAATAATTTTAATTCTCGTACTCACTTTCCCAAACATTGTAAGTGTACTGTCCATTTCCTAATCGATAAACAGTAAATCCATGAGTGGGAGGAGGAGGAACAACGTAAGTACTATTTGAGTTGGAAGCGGTTGCTTGATTCATTAGAGAAGTTTTTCCTGATCCTTCCAAACCGAGAAGAAGAATTCTTCTTTCATTGGTGTCATCCATCTGAAATTAAAATAAATAAATAAACTTTACACTTTAAAGTATTTAAATACTTAAATACGTCATAAATTTGAAACTTTATTTTTAACTTTTTAAACTTAATTTTGAGAATGTCAAATTTACATTATTAAACATATAATAATTATAGGTTATGATTACAAAAATTCTTATTATTTTCACAAGTAATTGTTAAATTAACACACAATTAACAAATAATAACCCTAATTTAAATTGTTATGAAATGTATAGAAGCGAAAAGTTTTATTGAACGGAAAAGACATGACATTTTGATCCTAAGAATTAGAATTAAAACTCTAACCTTTGCAACTTCTTCGAAACCTTCATCAATGCTCTTTAAGAGTCTTTTTTTCCAATAACGATAAGCAACATATGCTCCTACACAAGCACAACCAACGTAAAATAAAGTTTTTTGACCGTTTCTCGACAAATTTCGCACCATTTTTACAATTTTTGCAAATGCATGAAATGTATTACACTCATAACCTAGAAATTATTCACGCATATAAAGAAACACTGAATGTGTAAGTAATGAAAACTTAATATGAAAATTGAATCAGAGTTGAAATTCTCTGGCATGAATTATCATACAAATTGTATTTTCGAAAAACACAGTCTTGAATATTTATTATGACCGGTTAAAATTTTTTTTTTATGTCAGTTAATGGCAACGATAACAGCGACATTACTTGATATTTCTCTGTTGGTCAACTCAAGTACTAAAGTTTATGTCGACCAATGAGAATTCATGGCGGGAACGTAACTGAAATTTGAATTTCGTATTTCAATTTCATTATATAGAGACATTTTTATGTTAAATAAATTTGGATAAGGAATTTTTTATTACAATTTGTTCTCAGTTGTCTGGTAATTAATACTTTTTATTAAGTATTTTTTAATTTTTTAAAAATTAGATAACTAATAAATTTAGAAGTATATAATATTTAAAAAAAATTACGATTATAATAATTAACTAAAAGTTTACGTATATTTAAAAAGTGTAATTAAAATTCTTATAGTAAATTCTTACAGTAAATATAGTAAATAATGTAGTAAATAATTTTATATTAAGAGAGTTTGATGTATTAAATATTTGAATGAATATTGGATGATGACATTGACAAATAAATATAATAATTGTTAATTAATTTATCAATTACATATTATATATTATCAAATATAAATATTTTTTTCAATTGATAATAATTTTGTCTGAGAAAATTTTGTCATTTGTGAAAATAATAATTGAATGTTGTCAGAGAATTTTATAAATTTTTTTTTTAATAATTGAATGCTTTTGAAAATTTTTTTATTATAATCAAAGATATTGAAAATAATTGGATTTCTGCGAAGAATTTTATTAAAATTTTTTGAAAATAAGTGCAAATTGTTATGAAAAATTTCATAAAAATGGTTGAAAATAATTAAATTCTTTTAAAAAATTCAACTAAAAATATATTAAAAATAATTATTAATTTCTAATAAACAAATTAATATCAAAATTTTTTTCTCAATAATTGAATTATTTTGAAGAATTTTAATAAAATTTTTAAGAATAATTGCATTATTTTTTGAGGAATTCATTTAATAAAATTGTATTAATTAAATTAAATAATAATTATTCTGAAATCGTGCGATGAGTTTCATTTAGTTATGAAAATAACTGAATTTTATCAATAATTTTATCAAATAAATTTTTTTTTTTAATTGATAATATTAATTTATTTGATAATTGTTATATGTAATTTATAATTTGATTAACAATAATTATATTTATATTTGTCAATCTAACCTGGGAACCTAATAATGAATATTTAAATAAATAATTTACTTCGAAGGAATTTATAACAATCATGGCGCTCTGAATAAAAATACATTAAATTCTTTAGCGCTAGAAATTTTATTAAAAATATACAAAAAATAAATTTAACTAAATGTTTCATTATAAAAATGAAAATAAAATTTTGCTAAAAGTATATAAAAATGAATTCAACTAAATGTGAATAAATGAAAAAAAAGCAAGCCTCATCCGTTGTTGCAGAGAGAAGTCAAAGAAAAATTCTTGAGAGTAATAAAACACAATAATCCCTCGAGTAAAAAGAAAGTATAAAATTGAAAAACTGATAGAAAATAATGAAAATCATAACGAGCCACGATATTGCGAAAAGTTGCAAAGTAGCCAGTTAGCTTTAGCATGTTTGCAACTGGCGGATATGAAGATTTGCTGGAAAAGCGAGAAAGCGAGAAAGCGAGAAACAGCAGCAGAGGTGGATTGAGACATTCGGGGTGGAGCTTGACCTGGGATTAACCCCCTGACAGCCAATCATATTCTTGCACATCCTACCACGTTCAACCCCCAGCATCTGTACACCCCCAGGTTAATTGCCTCAGCAGCTTTAATATCCCATGTGAAGTGAAAGATGGAGTCGAGGGGCGAAGAGAGAAAGCTTTCCACATCATACAATTCATCGCGACGGGGATAAAACTACCAAAACTTTATTTCCTGTTTCCTCTCTACGCTTGCAAAGTATTTTCAACTCTAATTCTAGAGAAAATTTTCATTTTTATGTCATTTTCACGACAAGAAGATATTTTAGTTGCGAACATTCTTCGGGGAATATTTTGCCCTATGAACGTACTTCATTCTGAAACGTGTTTAAACTTTGTCCTTCTTGATCAAGATGGAATCATTTTCCACAAAATCGGGTTCGAATGTATACACACACTATAAATTCTTACTTTCAACACACTTTTGACTAAAATCGTTTATATTAAAACAATTTTTTTTAAGTACCTACAGTTTTAAGGGTATTTGTGGACACTATATGAAAGCTATTTTTTTCTATGTTTGAGAATTTGTACTATTTTAAATTTGTTAATGGATTAAAAAAAATATTCTGAAAAATTTAAATAAAATTCTTAGAAACAATTCAACAAATTTTAAATTTAATCTATTTACGATTTTAATAACAAAATTTCCAAAAGAATTCAATTATTTAAAAAAAAATTATAAAATTCTCTATCGTACCAACATTTAATTATTTTCTCAAATGATAAAATTTCCACAGGAGTTCAATTATTTTTATAAATAATAAAATTCTTCAAAAGAATTCAATTATTGAAAAAAATTTTGATATTAATTAGTTTATTCGAATTTAATAATTACTTGCAATATATTTTTAATTTAATTTCTTGAAATCATTTAATTGTTTTCAAAAATCTTTATAAAATTTTTCTTAACGATTCAATTATTTTAAAAAAATTTTAATAAAACTCTTCTAGAAATTCAATTAAATTAAAAAATTTCAAGTTTTTTATAAGAATTGAATTGAATTTTCATAGAACTTTCTAATATAATAGAATCGACATTATAAAATTGAATTTCGTTTAAAATTCTAGATAATAATCGAAATATAAAAAACGTTATTTTTTATAAATAACGTATTATATCAATTCGATATTGATAAGACTGTGTAGAGAGGCAAATCAATACCATGATGTTATTGATTTTTATGGTATCTCATATTAAATAAATTTATTATTCATTACTTTTACTTTCTATTATTTCCTCATAGAGGAAGTATTGTAATACCAAAATTTTTCGAGTTCGATTTTTTGACATATCTTTATGTTATTTGACCTCAGGAGTTCAAAAATTACATTTTTAAAAAATGTCATTCCGTATGTGTGTGTGTGTGTGTGTGTAAACATCACATTTTTATAAATATCTCGAAATTATCAAGAGCTTTTGGGTTGAATTTTTTTTTAAATTGTAGATCTCACCTGCGGACATAAAATGAGAGTACTTTCTGATATATTAATAAAGTTTAACTAAATTTTTTTTGGATTTTTAATTTTGAAAAAAACGTTTTCTGCCCATAACTTTAAAAAAATGTTAGGACACCTATAAATTTTTTTCTACAATTTTGTAGAGTTTTTTTAGACGCATCTTTTGAGCCCTAATTGAACATTTTTCGTCCATATTAACCGGATTTATTAAACTTTTAAAAATCAAAAATTTTGGAAAATAAGACTTTTTTGAAAATTTTGTTAAAAAACGTATAGAAGTAACTTTAAAATTATCATTACCAACTTGCAGAGCATTAAAAAAACGCTTCGATTGACCTATTTTTGAACCTAATTCGGTAATAAATTTGGAAATTATTGGTATTTTAAAAACCAAAAATTGTGAAAAATGACATTTTCTCAACTTTTTTGTTTGAAAATGTTTATTTAACTATCAAATTATTGTAACTATCTTGTAGGGTATTTAAAAATACATTGATTGACTCAAAATTCAATCACTTTTACCATATTTATAAAAAGTTATTCATATATTTCTATTATTTTTATCTCCATGAGGAAGTAAATAAGTGTTCATGAAATGAGCACCAAAATTATAAAAAAAATTTACAACTTGGCAGCGGTTTTTAATTTATGTAATTCTTAATTCTTAGTACTCTATGTACGAAAGGGCACTGCCCGTTTATATGTATAAATAAATAAATAAATAAATAAATAATTAAATTTCAAAAATTTTTTAAATGGAAATTAATAAAAATTGTTATTGTCGTGAAACTGTAATAATATTAAAATTTTTATTTTGAAATAAAATTCTTAAAGTTTTAAATAATATTTTTTAAAAATTCCAACAAAAAAATAATTGAATTTTTGAACGAATTACAATGTTGTAATTTTTATAAACAGTTAAATTTCAAAAAGTCTTTAAATTTGAAATCGTTTAAAATATTTTAATTATTCTTGTGGAAAAATAAATGGGCATTTAAATATTTGTCAAAAAAAATTATTATATTTTCGAATGTAATTTAATTTTGAAATTATGAAAACATTCGCAGTCGTCAAATTTAGTTTTTCAGTCTTAAAGTTACTTTTTGCTACTTTTCAAAAATTAATTATTATATCGAGTACGAATGCCCGAGTATTATTTTAAATTTAATTTTTAAAAGTTTTTAAGATTTTAAGTCCTAGGGGCCGTCCATAAATTACGTAAGATATTTAGGGGGGAGTCAAATTTACCCAAAAAATGTCTTACGTAATTTATGAACTGCCCCCTAAAATTGAAATCTAGTATTTTTAAAAATCAAGTTATTTCCTTCTTTTTTATGATAAATTTAAAGAAAGTTTTACTCAAACAAAAAAAATTTAAGGAATTCTATACACACACAGTTTTTTTAAAAGTATGCAATTGATAATACTAAAGTGAATCAATTTTTGATTTGATCCATATTATTGGTATCAATTCGTTGTAATTTGATACTTTTAAGTTAACACCCAATGGGAAATGCCAGTGTAGTGCCGATGCTCACCACTGGCTTAGTACTCAGACGATTGTTCGGCGTAGTCTAGCCGAGCCTCGACAATTAGTGCTGGCGCAGTACAGAATTTTTGTTTCGCCAAAGCTTGGACAAGGCTCGGCGGCAAGTGCTGGCTGAGTATAGAAAAATTGTTCACAACGCTCTTTGCCAACATTGCTTTTTTGACATAAACTTGAAAAAAATTATAAAAAAAGTTTATGAATGTTTATAAATATAAATTTATTGAAAAAAATTAATATTTTACTTTTTAGTTGTTCATTTTTTATTCTTGTCAAATTTAATAATAACAATTTAACACAATTGTCTAATTTTGTAAATAATAAATTATTTAAACAAATTAAAATTATAAACAAAA